TTCCAAACAAAAGCATGTTTGTTGTTTGTTGTTAGTCTCAATATTTTTGTGTTTTCAATGCCCCATTTATGCCACATGTTCCTCAGCAAATTACTGTACTTAAATCATGTTGATATGTGCTAAGCTTTTGGCGATGCATTGCACGTAGAATAGGTTGGTTTCATTGGTATGGCGGCGGCGGCAGCAGCAGCAGCAACAACAACAACAACTGCACCACAAATGTAGCACCACAAAAGGCTGTTTTAGTGCTAGAGTTGTCCATCAAACTGTGGAAGCAGCCACTTGCAAAGCGGTCTATAGGCCTAAAAAACAAAAGGAAGGCAGGAGCTGTTCATGCTTCGTCATGCAACTCTTCGCTGTTGGTACTGCTGCAGTGTGCTGTTCCTCTCATGTGACCCGAGTCTTCGCGTGCGGTTTCAATTGGCAGCACTTGATCCCCTAACCGGCCCTGACCGTTGGACTCCAACCTTCTACACAGGTCCCCTCTGCTGCGCTTTCTGCGGACCTTTTCCTGGCCAAGCTCCCATCCAAGATGGGATGCCGCTGGAGGCTTTGGTGCCAAGCCACGTGCTCACCTGGCCATGATACACGACACTACCGAGTCGGTAGCGATGGAAAGCTAGCATCGCTGTTTTTTCCAATGGCAACCCGACCTCAGTCATCTCTTCAGGAATCCATCCAAGTGCACTTCCTGACTTCTTAGTACGTCCATCTTCAACTTCAATTCTACTGAGTAAATGCATAGTGTAGGGCACACATGCTACGACGTGCTCGCCAAGCCACTCTGCTTGGGGAAGCAATTGGCTGCGCCCGGTTCCCCCGTGTGCAGCAGCGGCCAATGCTGGAGCTCCCCAGTTGGGCCAGCCCGGAAGTCGGCGAGGCGCTTTTGGTACCAACGCCTGAGGCCGTGATTCGCCTCCCGAAACCTTTGTGGGCAAAGCCATAAAACAAGCATTTTCTCAATTCCAAACTGCCTCTGTTGTGCTATACTTTACCCTCAAAAAGCCCCCAAGCTTCTTTTGATTGGCATTCTAAAGCAAAGGTTCCACAGGTTCCACCAAATTTCGGCCATGTAAAACCTACGACGTCTCTCCGACACTTGATTCATCCTGCCAAGCCACTCAAAAGCCTCCCGATTGCTCTGGGCACCCCAGTAAATGTCTCCTCATGCCTCGACCGTGGCCGAGCAAGTGCTCAAATCCGTGAATTCCCTTTGGGTCCCTCAAATGGATGGGGCTGAGGGTGCGAAGCTATATGAAGCTATTCACCATTTGGTCTGGTGTACATAGTATATTGCATTGTTATGTATAAAAGTTCCATCCAAGCCTTGCTTTCAAACATTCATGTCTGGGCCGAGACTGCTCCTACTGCAGGGTGCCGGTCGACCTTTGCAGGACCTCCCTGGCACCTCCCATGGCTCTTCACCGCACAGCAAGAACATGCAAGAACCCTCAGGAGATGTAGGAACAACCACATCAAGAAAATAAATTACTTTACTTCGAGTGATCCCCACCATGACATTTCAATCATTTGTCTTGATGCCATAGTGAGGAACAACCCTCACCTGACAGGTGGGGAAAGATGAACGAACAAGAAGAACACATACGATCAAAAACAGAATTCAAAGCTCCAAGGGGCTTCGCAGTGATGGATGCAGCTGTCAAATGCACCCGCATGGCTGCTGTTTCGGAAGGGCCTCACACAAGACCGATTGAGAGGGATTACATTTTGACCGCCTTGGTCCTCCAAAATCATTCCCACAACAATACTCCCAAAAAACCATCTGGAAAAAAGAGCCAGCATAGATCAGCATAGCATAATCAGTCTAGTGAACCCACTATCACACAATGTTGGCAGAATGTTCAGCAAAGAACCTGAAAAGCCTTCACCTGAAAGTCTCCAATCAAACGAGGCCAGCACTCCTCCCACTCCCCTTTGGCCAGCATACTCCAGCGCTGCGGTGCGCATGGCCCCCTCCAGCGTTTGGAGCGCCGTGGGCTCGACGGAGCGGAGCTGCCAAGAGTCCACCAAGCTCTGCAGGATGAAGCTGGGCGTCCTCAGGGCGGTCTGTAGGGTGAGGGTGATGGACACCTCGACCAAAGAACCCGTGTCTGTGCTTGGCGCTTAGCTATAGTTATACTATAGCACGGGCTATAGCTGTGTGTGGGACGGAAAAAGTCCTTACATTCTTGTACATGCATCCTTCACACTTGCCAAGGGCATTACAGCCGGGACTGGTCCAAGGGTATCACACAGCTCTGATGGACAACGTCTGTGCATCGCAGCAAAACTCCAAGCAATGCCCAATTTAGTGCAACTACAAATCGGATACGCGGGTGCAGGGTGCTGTCCATCCACAGCAGTACTCCAAAAGACTTTACGACCAACCAATGACACGAGATGTCGTAGGGACATTCTGAGATTCCGTTCCAATCAGAACTGACCAATATGCTTGGAAATGGCCCACCCTTTCCCAGGAATCTGGCAAAGAGAAAGAATTCCAATTTCAGGGAATAAATCCGCCCATCTTGTCAAACCCACGGCCATCGCTGCGGTGCGCATAACATACTCTACCACGCGGCTGCACGTATGGCAGGACCGTGGAGAGGAAGATGCACCGCCAACCATGCTCCGCCAAACAGCGTGCTGGAACCGAGCCCGAGAAGTTGCCCACCTCGCGGCTCGCACCGTGTGGCTCGGACCGGTGTGGAAAGCGGGCGAAAGGGAGCAAGACACGGTGCGAGAAAGCTAAAATGGTGTTACTCTCTAAGCTCCTATTCACCTAACTGTTCACCTAACTGTGCTAAGAACACCATGGTGTTAGGCTGAGATACTAAACGCAGTATCTTGCACCTACTGTCTCGCTCCGTTTGGCAGATTTGGAGGACACACATCTGTCTCGGTCTCCTTGGGCCCGGCCCTGGCATTCCTTCGGGCCCTCGGGCCCGAAGGAGTGCGTCTTACAGTTGTGCGTCTGCCAAGAACATGCTTTGGTGCAAAAGCGTTGCAAATCGTGTCTGTGTTTTCCAGAAAGGATTGCTCATCATGTCCGTCTTCTACGTGGCACGAACGCTACCCGCTACCCCACCCTTGGGACCCTCCCCAGTCCCCGCCAATTACAAATTTCTCCTCATCCGTGTTCTACGTTTAAAAAACACGAAAGGGCCAGGCGGTGGCAACTACTCAAGTCTCTATTTCCAGTATTTTTGCTGATGTGCTACTTGACCCAACCTCTCGTTGTGAATCAAGAATGATACTTTTTCTGAGCATCACAGGTCAGCTGTGAACTGGAAAGCTGCAACCAGGGTGATAGGACTGGGACACATAAAGTATGACTTTGCGACAATTGTTGCCAATAAAGGACTGGAATGACGACGGTGCACCTTTAGATACCAATTGGGTAAGAGTTAAGAATCACCTGCCAGTCATGTTTTCCACACATTCTTCGTGGCGCAACATCACCGCCCCAAATGGAACTCTCTGCACACAACAACTCCAACAAACACCCTGCTTCCAAGCTGGTGCCGACTCCGGCTGCTTGGTGGAACGGCTGGAACGGAAGCTGGCCTCCCAAAGCCACTGGAACTGTGGGAAGTGCAGCACGCCCGAGGGCGGAGCACGCCGGCCCCAATCAAGGAAGAAGCCACCTGGGTGACATCGTCACATGTGTTGGATCCATCGCGTTGAGCATCAAACGTTTGCATGTACTAAAGCAGTTCTTCTGCCTCTCCCCAAGCAAAAAGTGCAACCCACATGCGGGCGTTGAAATTGTTTATAACATTGAATCGCCTTGCAGTATATACATAAATATAGATTAATATATATATATATAATGTAAATACCCCCCCGAAGATTAACATGGAACCTGAGAATGGACCTTTGGAAGACTACTTTCCTTTAACACCGAGTGGTTTTGAGGTTCCATGTTCATCTTCCAGGGTGTATATCAATATATATATATATATATGGTTGGTATAGCTGCGAACTGAGCTAGTGCATCCGAATATCATTGAAGCTAGTGCATCTGGTAGGACCTGTTTGGAATTTCTGCATGAATGATTGTCACGAGGGCACAGGCTGACGAAAGAAGTCAATCGTAACAGCCACAGTGGTGGCTAAAGAAAAACGGCCCCTTTTCCAGAACAATATCAATGATTATACAATGTATCTTTGCACTGTTGCAGGATTTCCGGATAAGCCAGCAAATAACGCAAATAAACATTGCCTCACCAAATTCCCCCAACATCGAGTCAACTTGAGACCTCGTGTTCGGACTAGTGGAGCCAAAGTCGCACGCCTTCGGCCTTAGGTACGAGTACATCATCATATTATCAACCCGAAGATATCATGATCGTCCTGGACTTGGTGACAGGTAGCATATACCCAAAACGATCCAAAACGACCATGAGCTAACAGCAGGTTGAAAAGCCTGCAAATCTTCTAATCAACACCATCTGCACCTGTTGGACACCGGTCACCCCGAATCACCCAGGTTACAATAGCCCAAACTGTCTGCCATCGAGGCCACTGTCAGACCTGGGCAGGTACCAAGCGACAAGTCCAGCAATGCTTGAAAACAAATGTGGCGGTGGCAGGTGTAGACTTGAACATTACCAACATTATGTCAGTGATTTGTTGTTCTATCATGTTGCGGTTCTATCAACGCGGCCCGATGGCGTTTCCATGTTTATCTCTAGTGAGTGAGGACCTCCTCATAAATACATTGCAGCATATGTTTGCACTTTCTTTGCGTTTGATAGAATTCAGATCAAGAAAGTTGCAAAGCCCAAACACTCCATGTATGCGATATGTGCGTACATTGGGATCGATACATTGGGGTGGTTTGAGGGGTCAATGTGGTCCTGCTTGATTCTGATTCTGTCTTTGCACATCTGTACCGCAAGGTCGGAGATATCGAAAGGGCGGCCTTCGTGCTGAGGCTAAGGAAAAAAGGCCTCCGCCTCCGCAGATGTTCTTCTTGCCACGCTTGTCACGGCTTGTCATCTCTCACCCAGGCACATTGCATACCAAAACATATGTCGACACAGGCACGCACAGGCCACACTCTGACACGGGTCGACATCGCCGGGCCACAGAATCGCCACAAAGACCTCCTCCGCCGCGGTCTGTGCACCACGCTGCGCGCGCTGCGCGCGGCGCACGAGCTCCGCCAGCTGGTCGCCCAGCTGCAGTGCAGCGACCGCGCCCGCGGAGCAGCCACCCAAGAGGAGCTCGGAGGCATCCAGGAGGCCCAGAGGGAGGAGCTGCTGAAGGGCCTTCGCGGGGGAAAAAGCAGCCCGATTGAGAAAACAAATAAGAATAAGCCTTGCATGGTGTTGGTTCAAGATCATTCAACATTCATAGCCGTTTCGGGCAAAACAATCTCGTCATTGTTCTAAAAGAACAAGAAAACCGGCCTTGAAGGCATTGCTCCGCCCACGCAGCTGCAGGGTGGACCGGTTTCCCTGGAGCTCGGTCTCCAACTCTGAGTCGCTCAAGAAAAGGGTCCCATCACAATTCCGCACCATCACTCGATTCCTGGGCAAATCCCACGATGATAAGGATCAAGTGCCCGGTGCGCAAGCGCACCCCACACTTGGAAAAGAAACGGGTACCGCTTGTAGAAGCCAATGGCTATTAGTTCAACATGGTTCAACTACTGGTTCAATAAAGATATTGTCGTGATTTTTGCTTGGAGGAGAAGCCGCTTCTCAAGCCCCTGGTGTGGTGACATCATGCATCACGTCGCTTGCAGGGAAACAATCATATCTCAACATCCGCTATACAAGTTCTATCTCCTTTCAGAAACTTAAGGACAACAACACAAACTAGCCACTAGTGTTCAACGGTTCTTCAACCGTCAAAAAATAACCGGCTCTTGTCATGTTCCAAGTCTCCAGTTGTACATCATGGGGTTCATCTCCTTCTTTCCGGAGAGGCACCCGCGTTTTGCGAAGTCCCGGAATTCTGCATCGTCGTGAGAACTGCCGTGATAGCCACGTGCGCGTTCGGAGCAAAGATCGGGATGGCCCACGTTCTCCTGCGAACAAGAAGGTGGACAGGTGGACAGATAGGCGGATGGTGGATTGGTGGATAGAATGGTTCTGTTCACCTAAAGTCCTAGAGTCTGTCAGGGTCAGGTGGATCATTGCTGCGGCTTTCACAGAACACGAAGAAGTCCAAACTCCAAACCAAAACACAAAGCATCACACAGCGTAGGAATGGTCAAAAGTTTGCGTTGTCGCGATGTCCTATGTTCAATCTCTACTACGTCTTAATAGATGATGTCAACACGGTGATCCTTCTTGGACACAATGTTCCTGCCTGAAGTAAGCGCTCCTGATGAGCCAAACTTGGATGTGTTTGGTTCAGTGTCCTGCCGGGTTCTCCCAAAATGGACCACAAACAAACATAGAAAAACTACAGTAAATTCTCTACAAACCAAAAGGATCAAAAGGTCAGACTTGCCTCAAGTGATCCTGCTCGTGCTCTGCACCAACTCCCACCCTTGAAGGTTAAACCAATGAGGAGAGCTTTAGTCATCAATTCCTCATGTTCACTTGTCACGACCCAAAAAAGTACGTGGCGCTAGACTGATCTGTGGATGCACCTGAGTCAGTATATTGCTCTTCTCTGCCTGAGAAACGTCCACCCACACGCGCACAAGCTAAGCGTCCACCCGTCAGCCCACTCCTGAGGGCTGTAGCCATCCAAATGGGCCAACTCAGGAGGGCCGCACCAACCACCACCCTGGAACCAAATCACCCACTTCCTCCTGCAATGGGGAGCGTGCAGAAGTGGCGTCGCATATGACTTATGAAGATTCCGGTGCCCAACCAAAAGAGGGCCTCTTGTGAGTTCAGCAGGCCTTTCGGGGTAGATCAAGGCGGATTGGAACTTGAACCAAATTGGCCCGTAACAACTGCTATTCATATTCAGTATGTCACTATGAGGCAGTGTGTCAATACATATTTATATATACATATTTTGCACTTTTCGATCAATGAATATTATTTCCATAGCCCCCGAAAGCAAACAAGCCCCCCCCGGGGCCAACCCAGGATGAGCCTCTATAGACAAAGCTGCGTGTCCGATCCAGAAACATTCTGACAGTGCCAAACATCAAACATATCAAACCATATCAAATCATCCTCCCGCATGACGGCACAATCCTCCCCGTCTCCTCCCAGAGGCGTAGCCTTTCGCCAGGTAAAGGTTACTGGTCGAGCCATCCATACAGCGGCCGCCCTCCACTGGCACACGCCGCGCCAGTGAGCGGGACTCATCGACGTTGTCCAAGAGGCTGGCAATGATGGCCACCTGAAAGGTTGGTTGGAATCAAGCGAGAATTTGTTGATGATAGGATAGGTTGATGGTCTATATCATGGTTGACCATGAGGGCGAATCGGAGTGATTAAATGTAGGGTTCAATCATCCTGATGATGGATTGATGCTGGATGGTGGACGATGAGGGAACCATGGATCACACTAGTGCTACAGTATCATTTGTGAATCGGAGTGACTATACAAATATGGTTAAATCACCCTTCTGACAAGTGTTTGGAGGTGATCAAACAGGCCATCAAGCACACATCCTCAGTGAGCACCTGGTGTTTAAAGCTTGGAGATCATGCAATGGTTTCCCAAGCTCAGCATGGCCTCATCCTGCCACTGACTTCACATTATAGTTGATCATATCATACCTCTCAAGTAAGTCCCAACAAGAAACCAATACCAATGCGAAGCGAATGTCTTTTCCCCTCCTCCCCTGTCTCGGTGAGGTGCCAACAGGTTGGACTTGCAAACTCCAGTTGGTGGGTTCCAGCAATATCAGGGATCCCTAACTATATAATTACATATATACCATCAAATAGATCGCATGATATCCCATGTAGTTGATACTTTCTTGCCACTACTTACCAGTCCCTAATGGGAGGTTTGGTCTCCTTAAATTAAGAGTCTGGTCCCACCACACCAACAAAATTGTCGACTTGTGTATAGCTAGCAGGGCAGCGTAACAATCCCGCGATGCAAATGCCAAGAAAGCATTAGAGCAAACAACTTATTATCACAACAGCGTTATCCACTACTGATCTGATCTGACTGACTCAGTCGACCTTCTCCAAGTCACCACGAGCACCAACGCCGCCAAGATGGCTGGTCGCCACGATGCTGGCGAGGTCGTTGTCGGCCGCCGACGGTTCGGCCGCACTTGGGCAGCCTGGCAGAGTCCGGATCGATGCACTCGATTTCATAAGCCCAGAATTTGTTTAAGAGACCACATACAGAAAATCCAGTATTTTCGGGTTTTCAGTCCACAGATTCTTTACAGATGTTCCCTTCAACCAATCCATTGATTTTGGCTCAGGAAGCTCTGTCATAGGAGGCCGCTGATCTTGATTCGAGGTTTTGGGTTGGGAAGGTTTCAGGTTCGAAGGTCCAGTCTGGCTTTTTGGCTGTGAGAAGCACCTGAAGTTCACGAGTCTGGATGTTGAAAACCTGAAGATTGGTCTTCCCACACTAAATCCGCCTATTTGCTCTGTTTGATTGTAGTTCTGTATATTATATGTATAGTTCCATATGTTTTGGTATAGTTGCATGTGTTATATATACATATAGTTTTCGATTGTAGTTTGGTATAGATTTATAAAGTTTTATGTGCAATTTGCAAAAAAAATTGTACCATCTTTGGATACGCACAAAGAGCATTCCCTGACCAATTAGAGTAGCAGTTTTCACCACCCTCTTCGCCAACATCATCCTCTAGAAATGTTCTCATATGCATTCATTTGTCCATCACATCCCAGGCTTTGACATTCCAGGTGTGGACGTCCTGTGCGACCCAGTGTGTCATTGAAATGACTTTTCAGGAGACTCGCTGCCCCGGCAGTTGGCCGCCAGGCTCGGCCCAAATCCCACAGTCTCCACCTTCTTGTGCTGGAGCACGGCCAATGCACCTTCAAACCTGACTGCTGACGGTCACTGTTCCTCCTCTCTCCACTCTAAGAACCACCATAGAACTCCACTCTAAGAACCACCACAAAATAGCAACTTCAAATTCTTCCGTGGAACTTCTTCCGGAAGGTTTGAGCCATAAATATATTTTAAAAAAAATGTGTATATATATATATATACTAAAGCAAAAATGTAGTGTAACTATGATCCATTTGGGCTTAACATCATCAAGAACTCGGTCCCAGTAGCACATCCTCTTCCACCTCTTCCTCGGGCGGCACGCCCAAGGCCGCGGCCGCGCACACCGCGCGCGCCAGCGCTGGCGCCACCTGCGGCGCCAGGGGTGAGGAGGGCAGCCGCAAGCGAGCGAGGCCGCGGGCAAGGCCAGTGGCCAGGTGGTCCAGGGAATCCTCCCGGCGGGGATGACTGAGCTGAGGTCGTGGCCCATCTGAGAAGCTCAGCAGATTTCTCCAGGCGAAAAGCCTTTTTCGTGGATTCCAAAGATCTAATCAACCACTCAAAACATGGCGCTGTTACAGATCCGTTGGAGCTGCTTTGTAGCCTGAGAAGCGGCGTTGATTCTCTCGTCCATATTGAGTTCATCTACTTGTCCTCACGTCTGACGTGTTGTCAAGGGGGATCTTTGGGGGTCGCATCGAGGTTGGCACATCGAACAAGGCACAGGAGTGGAAAGGAAATCGATGAAAACAAAGCGATTCTATGACGCTTGCTACATCAAAAACTGGGTGGTCCCCCTAGACATAGTGGCCTTCGATATGTTCAATGTTTCTACCTGAGCTTCATGAGCCCCTACCGATACAGGATGCAAAAATGATACAACATGACCACATGACCAATGACATGCACACCAAAAAAAATATATCCGAACATCATGTGTTTCAACCAGTCTCCTGGGCGGGCACCGCCTTCTGCGCTTCCTGGGCCTCTGCAATGACATCAGTGCCTTGAGGCCTCGGCGGGGCCATTTTTGACCAGCGCCCGAGGTCCTGGTAGAAATCTGAATGGCAAGGTGCAGGACCTATGCTAAAAATCGCTAAGAACATGCTATGTTTTGAGAACATCAGCATGAAACTGAACAGAATGCACTCCATTCAATCTCTTCAGATCTGGGGAGACCTTTTTAAGACTGCTTTTCATCAATCATGATTGATCTGGACATAGAGACACTAAATATAATCGATATAATCATATATATAGACTGTATATATATATATATATTCTAATAGCTAATCTTACAAATAATCACTACGTCCCAGCCACGCCCAGGAAGGACACATGTGACCGTCAGTACGTCCCAGCCCTGCCTTTCCTTCCAGTACTCGATGGCCTCCTCACACTTCCGATCCCACAAGCGCCTGATGTGACCGGCTCAACACGCTCAACACGCCCACGCCCCAACCACGGGAACCGCCAAGGTCGATGACTCGATTGACTACTGAGCAATCTCTGTCATCACAACTGGCAGTTGTCCCTACTTGCCTCAGATCCACAACTCATTTTCGAACATCGAACCAACTGGCGTCGACCGGCTTCGCCCGGTGACTCCACCAAACAAACACTATGAGCTCATATCCACCCCCAAAAACCTCACTCTCACCGTCCATGCTGGACGCCTTCACCTGCCGGGTGTTCTTCACGTCTTCGCCTCACGGAGCTGCCAGGGCCATGCCGCTCGAAGAAGGCCGCGGCCCGGGCGAAGAGCTCCAGCTGCGCCACCTGGAGCGATCGACCGTGACAATCTTGTCGCGCGAGTGGAGGGGAGAACCCGAACAGAACCGAACTGCGGTGAGCCGGTATGAGCCCAGTGATTCGTCAAGATTCATACAACAGGGTGGAACATGCATGAATCAGATAGAACCAACCATCATGAACCAGATTTTTTGCAGCACATATAGATTGGTGAAGACACCCCGATGTCTATCCTACAAATTCTATGCTCAGTGTGGCCAACCTAAACACACGAGCAATAGTAAACGGCAAACTCTCTCTGTATATCTCTATGTAAAAGAGCCGCATGTCATTTACCTGGCATGTCCTGGCACACACAAACACAGTGCCCACCAAGATATCCGAATTGATACTTTTGGAACCCCTACCAATGCAACCATTGGATGGCGTCAAGCACAGAAATAACCTTAAGAACTGCTACCACTGCATCCATCCATCTTCATCCCACATGACACCACCAATTCCAATGCTGTCCCATCCGCCTGCACCGGTGAGGATGACCCCCAGAATGGCACCGCGGCAGGCGCTGCAGAAGTTGCTCCCTCATCGGCGGCGCGGAGTGCCTGCAGAACGCCAGACTTGTGCCACAGCAATTCATCACCCAATCCTTGGCCATCCTCGCTTGAGCAAAACATGTCACCCAGTATGAGAATAATTCTACACCGAACTCTACCAATGAATTAATCAGCATCAATTGGCAAGTGCTTATTGCAAACACTTTGCCTAAGCCATGTCCGCCAGCTCTCTCATTCTCCCTGCCTGATAAGCCTTCAAGCTCACCACTCCATCGATGGCCCCATCGGCACGCCGCAGCCGGGCAGCCGCATAGGGCGGGAAGTAGGTCGCACGGATAAAGCGATCCACCTTCTCATCAGGCCATGTAGGATCGATGAAGCCGTCCTAGACCAAGCACGAGAAGGAAAAGTCTAGAAAAAACGGTTATAAATGGTTGTATGCATGTGTTTTGATGATGTATAAGTACATCTTGAGGGCGCGTGGGTGCCAAAAGTGAATGAACCAAAGCGCTTGGGAACATGGGGATCTTGACTTCCGGGGTGCTGATGGGAACGAACAAACAAAACGTTCGCTTATGCAATATTAACCAGCTTGGTTGCCCCCCCCAAAAAAAAGAAAACAACAAAACGAGCTACATCACTTGTGCGTGCAACATGAACTGATGAATTCCTGTCCTCGTGGAGCCGTCGGTAATGATAGGGGAACTCTGCAATGTCCCAGTCTTCACCTTCGGGCAGCCCCATGGTGAAGTAGAGCTCCATGATGTGCTTGAAGCCTTGGAGATCCGGGGGTGGCCCAACGGATGGTGACCCTCGGCCCAGATAATACGTGTCATCCCCATACAAATCTCGGTTCCAGCCATTGAACTGGCCTTTCTGGACGTTCTTGAGGCAAAGCATCCACCCTGCAGATCCTTCAGCTGACAGGCATCTAACAATCTAACATGTCATCTAAGAGCCTGGGCGAGGCGCACTTCTCAGTGGTCAAAGCGATCTTGTGGCTCAAGGACAGCGCGGTCCTTGGACCAGCGAGTCAATCCGAACAAGGACAGAGCGATGACAGCACAGTTGGGCACTGCGGACTCTGGTGAAACTCAGGTGGTTCAAAAACACTTGAGTCCAGAGTTTCTAATAACTTCTTGTTACTACTAGTAAGGCACTTGTTACTAGAAGCGATGCACTTGTTACTAGTAGCTTCTTGTTACTACTAGTAACCCTGAAAAACACCTGCTGTGCTGCATAGTTGCGGCGGGGCAGTGGCCAACCCATCTCTGGCAATGTCATATCCCGCAGGAAGCTAGTGTGGTGTCCACAAAATTCCAAGAACAGGTAGAAAAGTGTGCTGCCCGTTAAAAAGGTAATTGGTTGCTCCTTGTTCGGACAGCTTTCTCATCTTCCCTACGCTCAACCGCACGAATATATGTGAAAAAAGGAAGCACCTCCACTCCACACCCTGTCTGGTTCCGACCTGGAACGAGTTCCCTAGACCATGCGCTGACCGACCCGCGGACCCAGCTGCTCATCGGCTGACAGTTCCACCTCCTCACGGTGAAGGATCTTCCTGGCGACCGCGGACCGCGTGCCGGACGCAAGGAGGCATGTTCGGACAGGGCTGGACCATGTAAGTATAGGTGTCCAGAATACCACCCGTTCATTCCCAAATGTGCTGGCTGTCTTCAGACTTAGCCAATTTGTCCCCCTTGAACTTGGGATCCACAGTACTGTATTTTAGACTTTGTTGCAGACAAACGTCGCTTCTCTGGTTGAGAAACACCATGGACCGGCACAAAATCAATGCAACTGCAGTCCGAAACGCCTTTGACTTGAGGGCATTTGCTTCATCGGGCCCCTCCGGGGCTTGGTATCCACTCTCCCACATCGGCTCCTTTGAGCTCTCTTTGGACAAGTGTCATTAGGAGGGCACCAAAAAATGCATGCACAACACCAAATAACGAACATCCAGGAGTCACATGTTGGGGTGGTTCATGGAGACCCCATCCAGTGAGTGGATGATCTGGACCCCGACTTCCTCCGTTCGTGCGGCCCCCCGACCCGACGGGACCGCAGCGACACGGACATGCCGGAGGCTCCCAGCGTCAAACTCCAAGACCATGCGGTGGCAGGTGGTGCCTGCCTGGTGGGACAGGGGGACCTTCTGGGACCTGTCTTCCAAACAAGCCCGGGATGGAATAAAGGAACACGACAAATGGCATGGATCAACAAAAAGTGATCTTGTGGGGCCAGGCACATTGTGTGTGATCGGCTTTGGGCGAAGTGAAGAGAAACAGGATGATGCTGTTGATGCTGCTGCTGCTGCTGGATGGCAACAAGGGATTATGAGGAACCACCACCCACTGTGCCACCCACCATTGGCAATCTGCTCCTTGCAACAATGGCCGCCAATGGCCAAATGATTGTGCAGAAACAACATCAGCAAAGAAGAAGCTGAAGCAGAACCCTTTGGTTCGAAAAAGTGAAGTCTGTCCACCAAACTATGTTCGTTACATTGTTGGATAATTGGAGGCCAAATGGCCAAATCTCCTCATACGAATTGTCCTTGATCGCTCCTCGGTGCTGCCCCAGACTTGAACATCTACAAAACCGTTCGCCCACGTGTCCATTTCCACCGTTTTTGGAGCCTTCTCGTCACCCTGACGTCGCCGCCTTGTCGTCACCCTCAAAGATGGCCCAGAACTGGGTCAAAGATCCGCGGTGCTTCGGGAGCAGCGAGGGGTGGAAGTTCAGACTTTCAGGGCCTGGCGAAGGGGCGGAGATTCGGTTTTCAGCAACGAAAGGCATCAATGGAAGATCATAAGGTCCAATGTGCAGGTCACAGCCCCCACTCTTTAGCCGGTGACTTCCTGCATCTTCCTGCGAGCTTCAATGGATTACCTGCAAATCATTGCAAATCCAAACCCGCAAGCGCTCAGATTCCCAAAAATATATCCCCCTTCATGCAACACTTGGACTGCCACAGGCTAGGGCAGGCGCATTGTCAACGTGAAACCTCATGTTCCCACGACAAGTTGCCACGGGGTTCTTCCACCAAGGCGCACAAGTCCAGGACCTCTTTGGGCACCCGGCGCGGCCACAGGATTGAGACCAAGAGGTCTGGCTGAAAGCGCTGAACAGCAGCCAAGAGGGCCTCCAAGTTCGCACCGCTTGAACTGGTGGGTTGCTCGGTTGGTTCAGTGGAAGGGCGTTCAGTTCCATAGTGAGACGAACACGGTCCCTAAAAGAAAAGGAGGCAAAAAGTACAGTAGCACATGGTGTTACAATATGTGTATAGTGACGGACACCCACTTAGAACATATTTTGGAAAAAAACAAAGATGAGTCACAGATATGCCGATGTTCTAAGTGTGCACTTAGAACATATGTCTGGAGAAAAGTCCAGGCTAAGAACAATGGTAAGAACATTGGCCTAAATGCTGGCTTAGAACCAAAAACATGCTGGTTGCCACCGGCCACCGGCTGCAAACTTTCGGCTGCAGGGGAGCTGTCGATCTTGACTCATGGAGTTACCTATGCAAGTGAAAGAGTTTGGATATGGGTCACTTTGCTGCAAGCAGCGGGGCTTGGACTAGGTTGTTGGGAGAGCAGGGATGCTTTCGTGCGCCCTGCAGCATTTTTGTACAGGCACTAGACTAGTTCTTGGCAGTATCATAGGAACCGATGCAGTTTCCCTTGGCTGCTGAAGCAATGACCGATCTCATGTATGCAGTATGCGCAAAAAACGCTTGCTGTGTGCTCAAGATGTGCAGCCTCATTAATGTTTGCTTGATGTTCATTTATCACCGACCTCCACAAATAGAATCAGGCTTTTGTATGCTCACCCCTAACCAGAAATCTATGCAAACATACAAAGTGACGGACACCCACTGTATGAATAATTATGAAATAGTCTAACCAATGTTCTAAGTGAGCATTTTTGTTCTAAGTCTCAATGTTCTAAGTGTAGTGTTCCTGTTTTAGTCTAAGTGTAGGTTTGAACATTTTGGAAAAATATGTTCTAAGTGGGTGTCCGTCACTATATAAATGTAATACTGTACTACATTATGCTAGGCTATATTATAGTGATGGTACTATAATAGTGCGTAATGTGTGAATCCCTGTCTTGTGAGGTGCATTATCCGTGGCTTTCAGGTCTCGCTCTCGGAATGGCCCAAGTCTCGTGTCCCACCCTTTTGCCCCAGCCTCGTTGTTGCTGGCCACCTCATGGCTATAACCTCAGCTTCCAAGGTCCAGGAAGGCATCTCCTTTCCATCTACCCAATTCTGGGCCCGGATGGCACAAGAACATGGAGAATTGACTTGCAGAAAATGCCATAAGCCCTGCCTGCTCTGAATAGAACGATCCCAAAATCCAAATTTTCTGAATCCCACGCACGATGCTTGTGACTGAACCTCATGCTGGAGCATCGCAGCCTGTGGCTGCTGGGTACTTCGCACGGCCCATCAACGCACGGCCGGAGATTGCAGGATGTTGCCTAGTTTGGTTGGAGAACTCCCCCCCAGTTCCGGAAGACATTTTGGGGTGAAACTTCCGAGCAAAACACTGTAACATCCTCCAGCTTTAGAGATTGATGAAGGGTAGCATGGAGCCTGGACTTCTACACCCTCTGGGGCAGTCCGCGACCTCGTTGGGACGAGCAGCCGAGTGCCCGGCACACCGCTTCTGCCCCAGCGCTGGGCGGATAACCCATCGCCTTCTCTGAAGGCGTCATGACCAAGACCTCCAGCCGTTGCTGGCGGCGCACCTGCCAAACAGAAAACGTCCACGGCTTCTTTGGGGAGCACTTTAGAGCTATAACATGTTGATACATGTTGTAACTTCTATAAGGATATTCGTCTGCTGATATGAACCGAACGGCCCAAGTCTCTTACATTTCTGGTTGTCTTTCACCATCTATTTTGAGAGGCAATTGGGTAATATTGGGTAGGTCCGCTTGTGACGGGGATTTTGGCAGCAAGGACAGTGACAACATCCTTATACAGTATACAATAAAGTTGCAAAGCTATGATTGAAACTCTGTCGAACTGCTACCAAGGGTACCAGGCTAAGTGGCTCTGTGACCTATCAAGAGTTATCACCAGGCTTATTCTGGACATGTTGTTTAGTTATATATTACTCGGCCTGCACCAGCTGGTAGAGCGAGAAAATCATCGCGTCCTTCTGCCCCAGCACCAGGACCCGTCGCTCGCGGCATGGCTCGCACTCCATGACGGAGGGTTCCAGGGGTTAGCACCCAGGTTATATCATCTGACCACCTGATGGATGTTTCGACCTCCGTTGTGGGAGAAATCGGGACATGTTGGGACCAGAAAGGACACATGTTCAGTTTGTTTTCATGTTGAGGCAACTTCTTGGCTTCGAATCGTTCCTCAAGAATCAGCAGCCGCTTGCATGGGGATCTGCAGCAAGAAGCAGGCATCACATAGAGTCTATGGACAGAGACCAAGCAGGTTGAGATGTTCAATAGATGTTGAAAAGTAGATGTTCAGATGTTCAGTGCAACTACTGTTCAGCAAAGTATGCAAAGTGGACAAGTGATCCACTTACCAGGCCAAGCCTAAGTGGCTGAGGCAGGTGTACACATGCAAGGGAGCAAGGGATGTGCATCGACAGCCTGGCCCAGGCGCACGCAAGGGGCTTGACACCCTGAGCAGCCGTGAGGCTTCACTCAGGTGCCTTATATGCATGACACATTGCACACTGATCAGGAAAACCTAGTCTTGCGTTTAGCAGGGTTAACGTCTAGGATTTTGAACTGCGGAACGGTACAAAGGGTTCCAGGTTCCAAAACAACCATCTTGGGGATGACCAAGGGTTTGCAGCCGTCCAGTTGTAACTTTTTAGCAACTCTTCTGTGACATGGATAGGGGAAGTCATCCAAAGTTCTATCAATACCTGGTGTTGGCCATGCTAGTAGGATGGTCATACCTCTGCCATTCCACCAGATGACCATCCCCAAACGTGCCAAGGACCCCAGCATCCACGTAGACCTTGGAGTCGGAGAGAGGCCAAAAAAAGGGTTCAAAAAGAGGCACCACATCAACGGAGAGAAGAGAGGCACCCGGAGAGGCATGGATTTGAGCGATGACACTCCCTGAAACAATCATGGAAGCGGATGGCATGGAAAGACCAAATGGCCATGATCCACTTCCATGTTTGTTGGTGGGAAGGTGCACCACATCTATTTCAAACATCTGACCGAGTCCTTAGATGCCTGTGTCAGTGCAGCTCAGCAGGTCAATCAGGAGAAACATAAAACATCATAAAACCCTAATGCAATCAAACACACACCACGGGAAACAAGAACCTAATTTTATACATGTCATTTTTTCAAGAGCTTCTATCATGCTCCATACTCGCAAAATGTCACACAAAAAGGATCAACAAGGTGATCTGCTGACCCCATGCTCTGACCTACTCTGGTCTAAGGATTCGACGCTCTTCAGCTCCCTCGCTTGGAACTGAGAGCGCTCGTTGCTATCCAGAGACAAGTAGCCCAGCCTGGCGAGGCGAGGCTCTGATCGCATTGATGGACGCCCTGGGATGGTTGGGTTTATAGGCACCTTTTTTCACTTCTCTGTGCCATCCCAGCATTGCCCACGATTCACATGAATTAACCATCCAAGGGCCAAGGGGCGTTCGTTGATGATTTGGAAGTAATGCTCTCAAGCCACTTCCGCACTCGCATGCACCCGTGGGCCTCTTGAAAGACACCGCCTCATAGCTCGCTTCACCTCAGCCAGCGTCGGCCACGATGTGTGGACAAACGATGGGTCGAACGGACGACGACTCGTCGGGGAGAGAAGCAGTGTCGTGTCACGGAGACAGAGGCGAAACGCCAAAAACCTGGGACATGGGCATCATGGGAAGCAGAAGCTGCCCGTTGCTTTCGTGAAGTTTCTGCGATGTGTGATGTTTCTGCGGCCTAGTGCTGACCCCAACAGCCTCAGGTGGTGAGTACGGTCGGTTCACTCCTGCAAGGAAACCTGAGCCAGGTGTGGAGTTTCCCTTACGTTTGACCCGGCCTGATCTAACACCTGCCAACCTTCTCAACCATTTTGCGACCTCACCATGACGAACCCTTCCCACCCGTCCTTCCTGGCCGGCCTCCGGTGGGCAAAGCGGTGTAGAGGTCGATCTTCGTGGCGATCCTCGGTGCGGTCGCTCTCTTTTTTTTCTTGCGCTTCGGCGGATTCCTTCGGTTCCAAGGGGGGGACAAGGGGTGGAAACGGGATTTATGGAGAGGGCGCCGTCCAAATCAGACCGAACGGTTGGAGGTGCCAGGTCGTTCGCGGCAAATGGTGGACTGGTCGGGCTCCAGTGGCTCCAGGGTTTGACCCATAGGAGCTAATTACAGGAACCCCAAAAAAGGAATCAAGAGCTGTGATTCTTCTTTTTCTTCGCCTGTCAGGGTTTCTCCTGGGTGGTCCCTTCACAGTACCTGGGACGCTTGGATAGGCTTTTGCAACCCACTCTCCTCCGTCATTTTCCACCTCAAGAATTCTAAGACAAATCCAAACAAGCGCGTATGTATGCATGCTTTGACGGCTTCACCTGAATCTCACAATCCGCAGCGAAAAGAATCACCAACCAATCTGCACCTGCACAACTTGGATCGCAATGTTTTTCCACCAAATGCGCGGGATGGTGTACATGGTGGTTCCCAGTGGAGGGGGTAACTAAACAGGACGCTGTCACGCGCTGTCTGCTAACGAGCACTAGGGATTCTCACCCTCTCTGTTATACCCGACCTTCCCATCTCTCCCAAAAACCAGATAAGATGACTGACCCAAGCTTTCCATTGCCTCCGAGCGTCTTACTCTGGTGAGATAAGAACTGGACCTGCAGACTGCAGACCGGCAGCATGTTCACATGACCCCACTACGCCAGGAGCCAGCTTTTCAGGGGAACCAAATCTTGGGCTGCCTTCTGCCCCAAAAGCTCCCTGGTCGGTTGATTTGGTGGTTTCGAACCAAAGCAACCCAATGAATTTACCATTTGCCAGGGATGTGTTCATTGATCAAGAACGACGCTTCGGGTTTCGAAGACGATCAAATACCCCTCCCTTTTTTCTGCATCTTCGCAGGAGTCAGAATCATCGAGGATGAGAAGCCCTGCCAGCACCGCACGCTGGGCTTCCGCATGCCTCGGCGGACGCTTTGGCGAAGTAATGACGATGGACAAAGGAGCTGGACGAGCAACCATGCATGCTTGAGTCTCGGGTCTTGGCGATATGGGGATGCTGTGGAACATCTATATATGCCAACAATGGTTTAATATGTTTATAATTGATCGTCCTCATTCTCTTTTCCTGCTACCCGAGCTGTTCCTCTGGCCATCAAGGTCAATACACGGAATCTCTTTGTGCTTTATTTGACGTTGACATGAGGACCCCCAAACAAAAGAAACTTGAAAGATCTTGAAAGATTCATACCAACTCCCTAGGCAAATGTATCAGCACTTCGGCCACCCAACCGGGCACACCCATCCACCACACCACGCACAGTCCACCGAGAGTCTCGAAATCCTGCTCCACCACCAGTGGTGTGGACTCCCTGCGCATGGCCACCTGGCGCATGGCGTGGTTCCCATGCCGCAGCAAAGGCTGGAAGAGCAAGCCAGGCATCGAGGCCTGACAGGCCGAGGGCAAAAGCTGGGAATTGTGAGTGAGGAGGTGTGATGGTTCATGGAAGGTGAGGGGCACATGGTGACGCCAGGGAGACAAATATAGTAACAAAATGGGTTGTCCAATGTTGTCCATGGTTCGCAAATGCCGAAAATCTCTGTGCATATCTGTGCATCAATCAAGGGTAGTGGAAGGGTGTTAGGCGCAGGCTGGTGGTAGTGGGAGAGTGTAGCATGGTGCAGCACAGATCCATCTTCACCCATTCTCCAACGTAGCTAGCATCTGTCAACACCTGACCTGTCCTCACTTCTCTTCCTTTCAGTTGACTTCGTCGACTTTCTTGAAATCTGACGAGGCACACCGAAGGTGAAGTCGCTGAAGGCCGTCCGGCGACCGCCCGGCGGCACGCCCCTCGCGCCCAGGCGCACGCGCCGCGCGCAAAGGCGGCAGCCGAGGCCCCAGGGGAGAGAAGGGTCCTGCGAAGCGGAAACAGGACGGAAACATGGGCCCTGGAGGCTGCCGAGGTCTTTGCAGCAGTATGATGATGTGAAGTGCTGAACATGGAATCGATCGCTGTGATCTCGCGGTTCTCATCCCTCCCGCCCCGAACGTCACCCAAAAGCGTCCCGGTCCGGCTGCTCAGCGACCCAGGGCGCAGTCTCTGATGTGGCGACGCCGTGGGGCTCGTGGGGCTTGCTGAAGCGAAGGACTTCCAAGAGCCTCTGCCCAGCGGCGGATGTCTGTTTGTGTCTAGTAACCATCCCAGTTGGGGGGTCCGCAGGTGAGGCATTTTGGATCAATTTGGTTGGAGAGATCTTGGGCGATGAAAAGAGTATGAAAGAGTGGGCTTAAGCCGCTTAAGGAAGTAAACACCCACACTAAACGATGGGGTTGGTATACGCAGCCCAAGACGTGGAGAAGGGTTGGGGAATATTGGCGATCAGTGCAGGCTTCGGCAGCTCAACGCGTGAGCATGATTTTGGGGCAGCCCAAAGGCCCGGGAAACAAACATGTCAAGCATTGTCAAGCCACCAACGCAAAACATAATAAAATCATAGTGACTTGGAACCCTCCTGTGGCAGTGTCGATGCTGGGAGGTATTCTTACTGTAAGGGCTCATCTCAGGTGGCCTCGCAACACCTACAGTTGCAGAAGCAGCTTGGGTCAAGAGGCCCTCAAATTCAAACAGCATGTCAATGTCCAGCAGTGTAACGAAAACATCTCCTGCTTCAAATCCAAGAACCTTCATGTTGCTTCACCAGTTGCTGTGAAACGGAATCACGGCGCACTCTCATCAATCCAAACCGACGCCACCCGCACCATCCTTCACCTGGGCCCGTGCCTTGCACGGTGGGCGATCCACCCGCACCGCGCGCACTGGCGCCGCGCCAAGCGTTGGGAGCCCAGGCGTTCGGCGCAGCGCGCCACATGCTCCGGAGACGTGGACCGCCGCGACCGCCGTGTGGCGGTGGGAGCCGCGGGCGGAGGATGGTCTGGATGGTCTGGAGGACGGAGGATGGTCAAGGTGGGTCGGCCAAAACGGAGTGTGGTTGAATCTGAAGTTCTTTAAACATATTCAGGCCATGTTCTGATTAAACGATCTCAACTCAGTCTCGTCTCGCATCACGGAAAAAGAAGCCATCTAAGATCATCTAAGTCTGCCAAAAAAACTGTGGCTTTGTGGATGTTCTCCACGGAGTTGTCATGAGTTGCAGACCTCGTCGCCCTTCTCACGGTGTGTTTGACATCCCCGCGCCTCCAAGGGAGACCATGCTGGGAAACTCATTTAGTGGCGTCTTTTGATTGGCCAGGACGGGTGCCACATATCGCTCCCAGTCCTCTAAACCCGTGAGCACCGTGCCGTCTGCAGCCATGACGTCATAGTATGCAAAGATGCCTCGATGAAACGCGATCTACTTCCACACCATGCACACATTACCAGGGAATGTCCACTGACTATCTAGATCTATCCAGTACCATCACGCACATTCTGATGGACCCTGGAACAAAAAGAATTTTTGAGTGGACTGTATTCGGGGTCCATATTGGCAGTAATTTGGCCAGGGCTTAGTTGTGGCTGAAATGTACCGTCGGACATCCTGGGACTTACTCTCAAGCAAGGCTACTCCAGCGCACTTCTGCATCCTTCTCTGTGGGTGCCGGCACCTTGGCCCAATGGAAATCCCGGAGCCGGATCACGCGGAAGTCGAAGGAGACCCTCGACTGCGAGCTGCTGTTATCGCCTCGGCCGCTTCAAAGCGCGCAGATTTCGGGAGACAGGACTGCGGACTGCAGAATCCTTTCCGCTCAACCTGAGTTGCCAAGCTTAGTCCTCGACCAGGTTTGCGGACAAGTTCAGTTCCCAAGTTCCGGGTTCCACAAACATCGCTTATTGCAAAAAGAACTACCAGCCTTGTGCCAAGTTTGCTGCCGCACTGAGCCCTTTAAACGAATGCTCCAACTCTATCCTTTGGGGCTATGGCTCAAAGCTGAGGTGGCCTACCATGCAGGCTTAGATGGCAGTTTGAAAGATCAGAGCCGTGGCCACTTGAGAGAATTGAAATATGTTGACTCTCAAATCCCAGACACTCCATGTATGCATATGTATACCATATATTATGCCTACATTGGGGTGGTTTGGGGGGTCAAAACGAACCACTGAAGCCACACGTCTCCAGGTCTGCTGCCCGAGGCGCGGGTGAAGTGCAAGCATTGGTTCCTGAGTGTGAGAAGCCACAGGTGGCTCGGGGTACTGGAACGTCTCCATTCAAAACAAAGATCCAACTATAGACTGACAAGCACATCTAAATCAAGAACATCTCGCCCAACATCAGGCTTGGGTGCAATCACCAAAAATGTGAAGTACTGAACTACCAAAGGTGTGCACAAACATGGCCCACACCTTTTGTGGTTGAAGAATTGTTGCAAACTGTGTAAAAAGGACAACCACTCCCAATGACCCGACCTGATGGTGATTCCAAGTTAAACACAAAAATCTCAGAAGCGCATAAGTTGCATAAGCACCCAACGTTGAGCACTAAGGATCTTTTGGCAACCTCAATATTCCCCAAGTGTTTGAGGGACATCCGAAATCATTTGTTTCGTCACCAGTGCTTGAAAGACTCATCGATGCACCTAGTTAAACACAAAAATCTCAGAAGCGCATAAGTTGCATAAGCACTCAACGTTGAGCACTAAGGATCTTTTGGCAACCTCAATATGCCCCAAGTGTTTGAGGGACATCCGAAATCATTTGTTTCGTCACCAGTGCTTGAAAGACTCATCGATGCACCTAGTTAAACACAAAAATCTCAGAAGCGCATGAGTTGCATAAGCACTCAACGTTGAGCACTAAGGATCTTTTGGCAACCTCAATATGCCCCAAGTGTTTGAGGGACATCCGAAATCATTCGTTTCGTCACCAGTGCTTGAAAGACTCATCGATGCACCTAGTTAAACACAAAAATCTCAGAAGCGCATGAGTTGCATAAGCACTCAACGTTGAGCACTAAGGATCTTTTGGCAACCTCAATATGCCCCAAGTGTTTGAGGGACATCCGAAATCATTCGTTTCGTCACCAGTGCTTGAAAGACTCATCGATGCACCTTCGAGGGGTGCACCGTCTATCACACCCTGCGGTGGTGACCACCGAGCCCTCTGCTCCTCCGACCCGTTTCACCGCTTTCACCGCTTTCACCACCTCTCGTCTGAGCTGCCCATAGAAGCGCACCGCCTCCCCGGGCTGCACCTGATCATCAGGTGTCAGCGAGTGTGTCACCATCCGAGTGGAGGGTCCAGAGGTGGAGGGATCCCCCAAGGAGGAGGAACACGGACTTGAAGGGAAGAATCTGCAGGATGCAAACGGAGACCATGCAATCAATGTTCCCTTTAACTTTAACCAATCCGTTCACCGAGATCTGAGGGCAAAAAACATTCGGCATGGACAAGTCCAGCGTCGACTGAGCACTCGACGAAGAAAAAAGATGTAAAGAATATGGAGGAACGTTAGATACGTTCAGTTCTAGGCACCGGATGGTTGGCTTTTGTCATGGTCAACTAAGGGCTCAAAATGAGTCAAAATGACCCGTGTGGCTACGAAGCCAGCTGATTCGAAGCCTTCCGAAGCGGACAAACTGGAAAAAACCTGCAAAACCAAAGGATGCTAGAAATGACCATGGTCGAATCGAGTCGAAGCTTTCTAATTCACTTCGATTAAGCTTTCAACGGCCTGGCGAAATCGTGCAAAACTTTAAACCAACCGCGATTCTTGGAAGATCAACCCACTACGCTGCAAAATAAAACAAACACCACCCACATCAACGAGGCAAACACGTGTGTCCGCAGGTGTCGACCGACCCGCCTCGAAGGCGTGGAAGTCGCCCAAGCCCGGCGCTGACTCGGCCCAAAGGCTGGCGCTGCCGGAGCACGGCGTCAGAGGCACCCACCAGTTGATCCTTGGAAGACGTCAACGGAGATCAGATCAGGTGTGGCATCAACCCATCTTCTTCACTGAAGTCAACGCAACTCAGCTATCAAAGATGTGGCTCCAGGTAGTGATCAGATTTTTACGGTCAGATCTGGCCATAATGAACGGCCATAATGAACCCGTCGATCAATCACTATGTATACGCTGAAGTCAACTCAACTCAGCGATCAACAAATATCAACAACGACAACCCAGTCAGGCATCTCACTGAAGCAGTCAGATCAGCAATTTGTTTCATTTTTGGGAGATCACTAAGGATAGTAAGGAGACCCCCCTCTCTCAGCATGTTCATCCTTGGAACGCCGTCCTTGACGTTGTATGTTTTGTGATGTGTTCTTGCCCCTTGATGCTCCAAGTGACGACAAATGCGCGCACCTATATGGGCCACCTACAGTTGTTCCCCTCATTTGCACTTGTCAGGAAGGTTTCTTGGCTTTATCCTTGCCACACACTACAAGAAGAAGTTCATCTCACTGGCAAACACACGTGCTGCAAAGGCAATGAGAGCATTCTCTTTGGTTGGTTCCTCTACCATCCTCTACACATCCTCTGCGTATCCGTCCATGCCACATCACCTTGCCTTTTCCCAATCCAATTGGGCACATGTATTACACATAAGGAGACCCCCCAGCTCGACCCATGGGCTCGAAGGGAAACAAGCCAAACCAGTCTATCTATCATCCAGTCTACCCATTCAACCAGGGGGTACACCCAAATGAATCACCCAGTCCCTCCAAAGCGCCCGCCTCGGTCTCCAAGCGTCTCGGCCTCTGAGTGCTGATGCTCCCGGTCGGTGTGAGGCGAGGTCAAGGACCGTTCGCCGGAAAGGTGGATCCGCAAGTTGGGGCAATGCTCGAAGATCAGCATCTCTTCCTCCAAGTCCTCTGAGATCGATCAGCGTGATATTGGTGAAAGCTTGGACGACTCTTTGGTGTGAAAATGTCGTGATACATGGACGGCGTCTGACACGAAAGACATCACCCTTTGGACCCTTTGGGTGTTTCTGGTCCGCCTCTACCCACCTCGCCATCCCTAAAGTTCCACGGCGCTGAACCGCCACCTGCGTAGACGGCCGCAGACGGCCAAGCCAAACAAACAGAGCCACTCCATGAGTTTTGACGCGTTTCCTGTTTCTCCAAGGGACGGGCTTTGAGACGGTCCGGAGGGACAGGCCAACTGAGAATGCTTCAGCTTCAATCCATGGTGAAGAAGCATGCGTGGATGAGGGAGAAAAGATTGTTCGTCCAGAACCTGCACAAGGAATTGAGTGGTATACCCGCCCGCATACCATGCCCGGAAAAATCCTGGTACCACGCCCAAGCTGTATGGCTGGCTAATAGACTTCCAGAATTTGTATTAAATTTGTCCCGAGAACTCTAGAAAGGGCATGCCTTTCTTTCGCAGCTCCTTGACAAGAGTCCCGCGAAGAACACAATGGGAAGCACAATTGTTTGTGGCTGTAGGGTTAAACATTAATTTATCCTACATCTTGAGATACCAGCGTGATCCTTGAGATACCAGCCTAAATACAAACGAAACATTAAGTGAACTCCAAGACTCCAAGCCCACCGCCACCTGCCGGATCTGTCCTCTCTGACCACCTGCCGCAGGAAGTCGTGATACATCTTGGTGAAGTCCGCATCTTGAATCCTCCAAAAGCCCGCCCAATTAGTTTGGTCCACCTTTCTTGGGGTCAATTTTTGGCAAATACTAACATGTACTGACGGCCTTTCTTCCCGTTCTTCAACTCCTTGATCTTCTTCTAACACAACCCCTCCCTCCTCATCGACTTAGTCTTTGGGATCCCTCCTTATGAGGGGAGATTTACTGTAATCTGTGGGATCTCTCCACATGAAGAGAATTCAGTCTTTGGGATCTTATGATTGACCCCCCCCAAGTGACTCAGTCATCCTGGAGTAGTAAACGAATTTAAAAGAAAACACAAGCAACCACAGGAAACTGGTCATGTTTTTGGTTTGGTTCATGTTCTATCTACTCCAGGATGGTGATAAACTCTTTAAGACCTTCTCCGAGCCCGCTATTTGATAGCAAACCTTCTAGGGAGGTTCTAGCGGGGTGTGATGATCGGGTGTCAACATTCAGGATGTGTAAGCACTGGGCAATCTCCAGGTGTTGGCCTAGCTTCCAGTTTGCTAGCGACTGAGGCGTCTAGGTTACATTTGAGTCATGTTCCTAGAAGAAACTAGTGAGTAACTAGTGCTTGGCAGGGACGCTGGCCTTCGCTTTCGGCGTTTGTTTGGACGTTCCGCACCCGAATTTAAACAAATTTATTGAAGCTCCATGTCCAACCCTTCGCTCAACACTTCGGTTAGACGACCAATTTCTGTCATTTTCTGCCCAAGCCACAAGGGTGATCGGAGCCGTGGGCGTTGCTGTGGGAACTCCACGTGCAGCTGCGAAAGGTCTCGGGCACCTTTCGCACCTCGGCCGAAGTGGTCTGAACTCCCGGTCCAGGGAGTGAGAACCACGTGGAGCCCGAGACGTAGAACAAACCATGACACGTGGTGGTTCTAAAGTTGTGACGTTCGATGTTCTAATTACCGCTTGCACAGGGCCAGGGAGTCCATGCGGTCGTAGCATGAATTGAACCCGAGATGGTCTTTTGGGGCATCAATGGGCATCATGATGTCTGTACCCCGCTTTGGTTTGGTGTTTTGGGTTTGCGCTATAATGAGAAGAAAGAAGGAGAAAGCGCTGCCAAAATGTTCAAGCTCAATGGGATCAAAGGTGTATAACTCTGGTAAACACCAGCAGTAGAAGGGGACTCCAGCAAGACGAAACATGAAAGTAAAATAATAACAGCCAACATTAATCAAACCGGAATCCCAGTTCCACCTGTAGATGCCAAGATGCTCTCTTTCTCTCCGGGCACGTGCAGCAACCGGAGGATCTGAGCACCAAAGTTGAAGTGCTCAGGGCAGAAGGGCACCACCTGTGCGGACGAAGTCTGTCTCCCCTGCGGACCTTCCTCGTCTCAGTTTCTGACTTATGCCAGGCGCCAAATTCGCAAAAACCACGATGTGTTTTGACGAAACTGGACGTTCTGAAGAAAATTCTACATTCTACGTGTTGTGTTCAAGCACAGCAACAGGTCAACGGCCGACACATACAAACCAAATAGCCCGCTGCCTCCTCCATGAAGGGCTTTTGGCCCGCACACACCATGAGCTCAAAGCCCCGGTGGTGAGAATGAAGCTGGTGTGGAGATCACAAACCCAAATGGAGGTGTGGGGAGTCGAAAGCCACCCACGGATTGTGTTCCACGAATGTTTTCGACTATAAGGGGTGAGTCTAGAGTCTATGGGGGTATAAAATTCCTTCCGGTCAGTTGCCTATAGATGCCTATAGATCTCTTTCCTGGATCTTTTGGTTTCAATCTCCTCATAATTTGGCCCATAATGTGGCCATGTGGTAAACCTGTTTGCGTGGGAGTCCAAGATGGGTTGAGGTTCATGAGGGGTGAGGAGTGCTTTCCTAAGCCACCTATACTCCGGCTGGCGCGCAGTACGGTCTTATCGCTACCCACCAAATGGTGCGACATGCGTGACCTTTGTTTCGAATCGACCAACAGTCGGAGGCCTCTGAAACAAAGGACACATCGAAATCCTAACTTGCTCAATATGAGTTATTGCAGTACACAAACTTGGGGCACATGCACGGTCCTCACCTGCTTGATGTTGCTTGTTTCTGTTTGTTGCTTGCCTTCTTGGACAACATGAAATGCCATGGAACATGTCTGCACAAGTCATTGGAATCAGCAGTTGTCTGTAAGCCAAGGAGTCTGCGTGACAATCTGCGTTTTGACGGCGGCAACGCTCCACTTGTGACCACTGGCAGCAAATTACAAAGAAAAGGATCACAAATGATCACAGTTGCTTCTTGACGGTGGCTTAGATTAGATATATAAAAGGTTTCAGTTAAGCAAGCTACTTCACAGTCCGTTTTCTGGTGAAACACGCAGTCCTGCCTGCCGCAGGTGCACTGGGGTCTCAAACTGCAAGCCGATTTCCTGCAGTGGGGCCACTGAAAGCCGCCCTATGTTCACAGTTGCTGGACCCAAAAAGCACCATCCTGAAACCGGTCCGGCCGCACGGTCACCGACCGTGTCTACGGCTGAGGACGTCTGGCCTGGGGGAAGTCGCAGAAGCGCGCGGTCTGCCAGCCCTTCGTCTGGCTGCTGTGGGTGAGAAGCTCGGAGACGGGGAACTCGGGATCCTGCCGGCGAGATCACATGACGTTCCATGGCGCTGTCCGTGGGACGTCGGTGACGGGCGCGCGGGCAGGCGCCGGCGCCCCCGGGCGCACCTCGGAGCTGCATTTCACCACACGATACTTCAGCCGCGCTGCGGACATGGAAGGTCCTCACCTGCGGAAGGTCATAAACATCGGCGATCTGCGTCCAGCTGCGGGCTCCGTCGGGCTTCATGTGGATGGTCTTTCGAGGTAAATAGCAAATTGGATCAAATTGGGTATGGTCTGGTCTATATAGGTGTGTATATCTCAAATGATCTCAAATGTGTTCAAAGGTGTCATGCTCTTGTCTGTTCCACGGTGGTGTCTTCAACAACAATTTCTAGAATGTGCCTGCCATCCCAAAATCAAACTCAAGCTCGTGATATGGGATGACCACCCAAGTTCCAAGCTCCTAACACTTCTGACACTTCCAAAACTCCACCAATGACGGCACCTTCATTCACACTGGTGTGCATTGGAATACGCAAACCCCAGAGCCGTTTCCCCACCGCACCTGCCCATGCCATTAATGCCACCCCTCGGCATCCCTCAATCCGCTCTTTGAGCCAATCCAAGCAGTTCCCTTGCATGTGAAGTCAGCACAGGATGGGCTTCATACCATGAATCTTGAAACCCCCACCATCAACAGTACCATTTCCCTTCACAATCCCCGCCATGCAAGAAACATCAGAAACCGCCATAGCCCCCTGAACTCTCCAATCAAACACCGGAACCACACCGGCTGGAGACATGTCCACTTCAGAGACTCACGCCATCACTCCCACGATTCCCCTATATCCACCCAGCAAGAAGTACAGCAGAATGGAATCTTTGCTAAAAAGAAGTTGGAGGCGAGAAAAGCAATGAGATGCAATGAGTCTCAAAATAGCAAGAACTGTTGCCTGCCCATCTTTCCAAAGTATTGAGCAGTGGTTTCCTAAGTAAGTACTGAGTACTGAGCAGCCCCTTTTCCAGTACCCCATCTCCGCAATCATGTCAAACGCGGCCGGCGCAAGCACGTTGGCCCGCCAAGCAATCAGGATCTTAGCACGATGGGGACCGGGATCGTGGAAACAGCATGGAAAAGGCACCTTGGCTTGATCTCCCAAGAAATAGGATTGTGACAAGTACAATGCTATAGACCACAAGGGTGAGTTCTACTTTTCCTCAGCTTAGAGCTACTAGAATCCTAAAGGGCCCAATGTCTATGTTTTCCAAACGCCATTGTGCTCAGCGTGGGAGTTCGGCATCAATGCACACAAGTGAAGCGGCTTCAATGACCCATGGCTGCCAAACCGTGGCTTGGAGCGAGTTTGGTCGGGAACAACGCCACACAAACCTGCGTGGGTATCTTGACCAATGGCAACAGAAAACAACAAGGAACCACAAAAGGTGGCTGGGCCACCCCAAGTTGAGTAAATCCCATTTACTGACATGTAGACTGTCGATGCAATCACCCCCACAAGCCTAGATGGAGACAAACAACGTCGTATATAATATTTATATTGGTGGTTTACTAATCAACCGGCTACATACATCACTACAAAAAAATTGATATATGAGACAACAACGGGCCTCCGCGATACTCCCCCCGCTCACCGTGAAAAACACTGAGCTTCAGGGCGTTCGGGATCCAGTGCCAGCCCCTGCTTGTAGACATCCATGGCAGAGGTGAACTGGCGGTGATCCGCAGCGAGTTGAAGGCCACCGACTCAGTCCTTACCTTAGTCCTCGGGGCTGACCTGAGACATGTGGCCCTGGAGCCTGGAGTGACCAATCTTTCCCTCTTGCAAGTTTGGGGTCTTGATGCGTCTTGGACACTCAGAAAAAGGTCTGCACTGTGGTTTCTGTCAGTTCCCTCACTGCCCTATGAGGATTCTTGGACGCCAGGATAGTATGGATACGGTATGTATGGATAGGCTTTTCATGTGGATGGACAGTTTCATCGCTCCTGGCTTAGCAGGGGTTTCACCTTCACCCCTCCAGACCCTGCAGACTTCACCCTTTTGGCATCTCCTCACAAGATCCAACTCCTCGTGAGCCAACTAGAGCGGCCAAGCGTAGGGTTTGGCCGCTCTAGGGTTGAGGCGAACAAGTTGAACATCCCCCCAGCTACAGGAGGCGATGCTTGACTCAGGTGAACATGACGGCAAGACTACTGGCAACTCTTAGGTTCTTGTTGCTGTGTCCCATGTTTTGCTGATGTCTTTTACGCAAGAAACCACCTCTTCCGCCATGAAATGGAGCTGTCCCAGCCGGGCATAGGCCTCGCAGCGGTGACCGCGCACGGCATCCCGGGATGCCACACGAAGCAGTCGATGCGACGAGTCATCTTGCTTTACAGTATCTTGTAGTCACCTTTGGTGGCCCAGCGACGATTTGTCTCCATTTCAGGAATTGGGAATCCCCCAAGATGACTGGTGGAGGTCCTTGCATGACGGGTTATCTAGGGGGGGGTTGAATTGAATGATCAATTATTAGACCCGGACGCGCCAACACTTGCTTCGCAAGACAAACTCAAGGTATCCCCTAAAGGGCTACCTTTCGTGATATTTCGCAAGCACGTTCTGCATGATAGACCCATCATGACTCATCCAGTGGCGACCTTTATGTTCTGGGCACCACGGTGGAAGGGCTTTGTTTTAGAAACCAAAACTTAAGTTACATGGTCTCTCTACGCGACCTCCTATACCGAGACGATCAAACCCTCAATGCTTGGGATAGTCGGAATGTTCATCTGAGCCATTAGCAGTTCTGTTCATCTGAGCTCCTGGCTCTGGTCCTTCGAGCCATCTCTGCCAAACAGTGAGGTGACAGGCACACAACTACCCCCCATAAAGGCCATTGGAGGGAACAGAAGCCGCGTTAGTTGGGGCCCTCAAAAAGGTGAGGACGACGCTGCAAACTCCACATGGAAGTACCATTTTCATCCTCTCCCCTGGACGGTCCCTCAGATGGGGAGCACTGGCGGCGCGCACAAGTGCACACAAACCAGAAACTCACCCGTCTCATATTTGGGATCGCCCCTTTCGGCCCGCGAGTTTTCGGTCGAACCGGGATTGGCGAAATGGTCCCACTCCCAGAGCTACGGGATATTGAGAGGAACACCCGCAAGAACGTGGGCAACCCTGGGCCCAGGAATTTATTTCGAATTTCTGAGATGTACCCCCCCCTCCATAGTTCAACAGATAAGGGGTGGCCATCCTTGCATCAATGTCAATATGGTTCTGTATAGACATAGACATACACTCAGCATGCTGCTCGGATGAGGCCTGAACCACCTGGACTATACTGGAATATACTGGAATTAAAAAAGCCCTCGTCATTGGGCTTTGGATCTAGACTTTTCGCTTTTGGGAACACCCCCCAGTTCAGTGTCGTCAGCTGAATGCATCCTGAGACCAAGACTCGGAAAGGGAACTTCGTGCGTGACACCTGCGGATGCCATCGTAGCGGATGTGATGCAAAGTCGTGCGCCTTGATGTACTTCGGATCCAGCTTCAAGCTCTGTTTCCTTGGTCTCTTGAACTCCATGGAAGGGGAACATTGCCATTTCGCTGCCATCATAACGGGCTGAGTCTTCATGTCATCTACCCAAAGATGTTGCAATGGAAAAAATGTAATATCAGGATCAGGATTGTCAGGTACATCATGCTGTTAGTCCAGGAGGCCAACTGTAGCACATTCTACAGCATATACAGTAGCATACAGTAGAATCAGTAGAACTACTCTCCATGACAATTACCTTCCAAGATAAAAGCCATCCCATGGACCGAAGGGTTCCAGGCACCGACTGGCGCCCAGCCTGTTTCGTCCGCAACGAAGTGGTCAGCCTAGCGTCAAGTCATCCAAGGAATTGGTATAGTATGGGTTTGTGCCTCAGCCGCTGGCGACTCGGGTCAGCTCCTAACTCCGAAGCAGCATACAGAACCGACCAGCTGCGATCGTCAATGTGATTCCTAGTGTGCGGCCATGATCACATGTTTTTGATTGGTTTGCATATGTTTGCATCTTGGGGCCCCTCTTGCACAGCCTTTGGGCCATCAAGGCAACATATGGAGCCCTTTGTTTGAGAGGATGTTTCACCAAAATGAAGGAACAAACATGAAGAAACATTCAAAGAAGTTGCATCCACAGCAATACGAGCTGCCAGGTTCCATTCTAGTGGCTACATGAGGGACATCTTAGGCTTCTCCAGTCCAGCAAAAATGAAGCTCCGGACGAACAAATCGAGCATGCGCACCTCGCTTTTGTGGACGTTTGCTCCAGCACCAGGTTTCTGGGTGTTCATCACATCTGTTCGACGAGGAGAACCTGATTTGTGTGAGGTCTCCCAGCCGTCATTACAGGCATTCCAGGCTGGAGAGCCTGATATCTTGAGTGGGTTAGAGGGTGCAATTTGTGGGTTAGATCACAAGACATCTCAAGACCTTTGCCAAGCGTTGCACCCAAAACAGGGTCCTCAAAAATTCAAGAGGTTTCGAAACCCACCACATATCTGGTAGGGCTTTTGGCAATGGGTGTGATCCCTAGTTTGGCAAGGAAGCGGTTTTCGCTTGCTCGACCCCATAAGTGGATTCGCATGATTCACTGGCAACCAGCCCAATACAGAAATCCAAACAAACCAAACCCAAACATCATGATCGGACCCTAAAATAATCTTAGTAAAACGTGGGTTGGGGTGAGGGCCCAAGGGGTGAAGGTTTGTTGCACCATGGGTTGGATTGGTAAGCGTGTACCCCCTGCTAAAAACAGGGAAGTGGACAACCCCCTGTTTGGTATTCGATCAATGGCCTTTCAGGGGCCATTGTCCACTTCCATGATTGTTGGAGAGAGGGTGCATCATGACTGCGCTGCCAGCGGCGCAGTGCCGCTGGGGAGAGGCCCTTTCCAAACTCCGCCAGCATGGCCATCTGTGCCTCTGAGTGGCGAACTGTGATGCACTGCGATGGGAGTTTCTGGCAGGGAAACGTGGAACTGGTGTGAGTTCTGGCTCTTCAAATCAAGTATAATCACTAGAGGACCAATGTAAGAATGTCAAAGAGCTGATTCCAGTAAAAGGACTTGGTGCTTTGCTTGGAACCACCGATCCGAATGACTTGTTTAAACATGGTTAAACATGACCTCAAAGATCTGGAGGAAACATACACACACATTCCGTTCCAATGGCGCTTGAGGAAGGGTTCACTGCAGGAGAGCACAAGCACGCTGCTTTGCATCGGCGCCTGTTAGCACCCGGTCCCCCGACCAAAACGGTGAAGACTCGGGTCGATTCAACTCACCGGAACTTCAGCGAACACGGAAGAGAACAAAAAACAAACAAACATCTTAACGAAACTGCCGGCGGCTCAGTGGTTTCCTTTTCAAAGAGCCGTTTGGCCCTCCTTCCCCCAGGAAGAGAAGTCCCGACGGGTGTGCGTCCAGCTGAAAAATATCAGCCTGTGGATGCCTGGTAGCTATTCAACACCGGCTCGAACATCGGCGCCCTCCTTTACCCTATTTTGCGACAGCCACATGTCAAGTGGGACGAACCGATCAAAACTGGCGGGCCCCGTGGAGAACGAACTCTCCGCTTGGGCCTCCTGGCCGCTGCCCGATTGGCCCAACCTCAAGACTCAACTTTTGTAGCGTAGTCCGGACAGTTGGGGGCAGCTGTCGGTGTGCAGGATTCTCCGGATAGTTGGTGCACCAAGTCCCTCGTGGCCCCTTGGATGGCCATCAATGATCGAATTAAATGTTAATGTTGAGGCCGAACTGGTGCACGGAGCCAAACTAAACAACCGTATACAGTCAAAAACCCACAAATGAGAGGAGGATACATTGATATGGGCCCTCAGCGTTGGAAGGGCCTTTTGCTACAGCAAAGCGCCCATGTCTGAACACGAGCACCAGTGGATGAGCAACATGGACGACCAAACACATTGAATTGGCAAACAACACGGTCTTCAGTCTTGAGTCGGATTCCAATCAACCATTGAGAAGAAAATACCATAAAATACCAGTACATGAGAAAACATGTCGTTTCGCGGCAAAGCACTGCGTAGTTACGCGTGGTTTGGGTGATCCCCACCTACCCAAAACAAACCACAAAGCATTCAATGCACACCTTTTGAAGCATCGCCGCGCAGCGATTCGATCCAGAATGAAGACTGCAGCTACAAGGTCCCACACCTTATACAAGTCCTCCAGGAGGCCATTTGGACTTTGGGTCTGGTGATGATGACAATGATGAGTGATGTTGAGGAGGGGAGGAGGAGGAGGAGGAGAGGAGGAGGAGGACGAGGAGGATGAGCATGATGATGATTATTATTATATATATATTGCTATATCATTATGAACCATCCTTAGGCTCAAAACCCAAATCGTCTCCTGCAAATGATGTGTGGCTTCGCTTTCAGCCATCTCCGGAATGTAGCCCAAACGAACCCTGTCAACTCTCAACAAGATTTGGCAGAAGCCCTCACCACAGCACCCCTGGCAAATCTGCTGCAAATGCAACGAAGACCAACAACAGCGCGCAAAAACCTCTTTGAATATCTGAATGTCCAACTCCCTGCACTTTTCCGACCGCTGTTCCGATTAGCTCTTGCCTATCAGACTTGCACGTTCTTGGCACTGTGCTGTTCGTGCTTTTCTTTCTCAAACGGTATGCCTATACGTACCAGTTTCTCATGTTCCCTACACTAGGCCGCTCGCGCCTTTGCAAGCTGCGAATCGTTCGCACATGTGTCTTTCTAAAATTGCATAGCTGCGTGCAATACTTGTGCCGTTGCGAGAGCCTCTCTCCGGAAGCTAGTGGCAACTTGAAGAGCTTCTGCATCTGCCACAGTCCCACAAAGAGCGACAACAATTCTTCCTTTCTCCGTAGGTCCCGTGTTCTGACAGCTCTTCCGCCTGTCAGTGGCACAATGTTCTGACATGCACTCTGCCATCACATCTGCGATGTGTTCCGATATCTGTTCTGACAGTTCTGATATCGCTCACCACTCCCAGTCATCGCCCAGCGCGCACCACTCTGCAGCCCGCACCAGCAAGCAAATGTCTGGAAGGCTGGAAGAAGTGCGGCGGAGGTAGAGGTGGTGAGAGGTGGTGCTGGCGGAAAAGGCGAATGGACCTGAGCTGAGATAGAATCCAAAGACCCTCACCTGACAGGAGGTAGTAAAACCGTCTTCTGGAAAGATATGCAGAAGCGTCTTCAAACATCTTCAGAAGACCGCCGGGACTCTTTGGTGAATGGACATAGCTAGCAGTGCAGCTATCGAAGTAGATGGATCGAGACGGCAGGGACTGTAGTCTGCTAAATCGACCGCAAAAATATTCTAGGATCTTTAGGTAGTTTTGCAGCAAGACCAGCCTGGTCAAAGTGAGCTTCTTCAACATCTAGCGAGCATCAACGCCAGTGGTTGCACACAAAGATTCTATAGATCATATCATCGAAGTAATGACGTTGCTCAAAAGTTCATGTCAAAGGCCCTCGAATGCCGCTTTCGTTTCAAGTATCTCTGCAAAATAGCAGTATTAGTATACGGTTGTATAATCGAACACAAGTAGCCTGCCTTCCTTCTTGACGAAGAAGCCACAAAACCGATTTAATCTCTTGGATTCCCAGGCAGCGCGCATCCGACGGGCCAGCACGGATGGCCTCCACACCAGCAGCAAAGGCCGCAAAGGAGATCAATGGAGATCATGTAGGGGAGTTGAAGTGAGCAATAGGATCTATCAGGAAGAATGGGGAAGTCTTTGGGCTATCCATGCTACATTCATCTACATTCCATGTTTGGCATCTCTCATTTTCATTTAGACTTGTGAAAAGCCCGGACTTGACGGACAATGATCAATGACATAATATGACAGGGCGTCGATAGGTTAACAGGGCAACCACTTGAGGTCAAGCAAACGTTGGTGATTGAGGCTTTTCAAAGGCTTGTCAGGCCAGCTGCCACACGTTTCACACATTGCACCTGTACCCTGTCGACTGCGAACAGTGGCAAGTTGTGTAGTTGTATGAGGCGGGTGACGTGTCAGGTTATTTCAGGCCGGTTGCAGAGTGGAGGGATGTGAGGGATTGGCGGGTTGCGGAGCGAGCCAGCAATCCAAATCTTCGCACCATGAGGGTGCAAGACAAAACAACAGAGTGGAAGGGGGGCTACAAGGATTGAAAAGGATTACATAAAAATATCTAAAAGGTGGCTTAACATTTTCTGCTTCACCTCTTGTGATAGCATATGAATGCATACAGTACGAGCACTTCTTGACACACCTCCACCTGGTAAAGGAGTGAGTAAAGGACCCTGTATTGAAAATCCACGAAACAGTCTCGTCTGTCCGTTCAGGTTGTCACTGCAGTTTTTGCAACAACAAGAAGAAGAAGATGATGATGAAAAAGAAAATGCTTCTGTGTCGATCTAGTATGATCTAGTCCTATCATTCCAACTGCTTGCTTATGATGAACTCTTGTGCAAACCGTTGGGGAGGGGACCAACGTCCGCCTGTCCGAAGAGACACGCGCACCCGCCTGTCCGGTCTACCTGCCTCATCGTAGGCGCGGACAGCCTTGGAGTGAGCGCCATCACCTCAGCGTACAGGTGAGACAATCTATACATGATCGTACACGGTCCCCTGTCCGGTGCTGGCTGGTCAACGGGAAAATGATGGAAAGACCCCCTTCACCACCGACACCACCCAACTAGTAACTACTCATTGCTTGGATTCATGTGTCGCACACAGGATGTGTGTGTGTGCATTGTTGGGTGGATGCGTGGCCGCTGGCCGGTGGCCTGTGGCGGGCCGGTGGCCCGTGGCCGGAATACAAACATTGTATATGTGGCTGTGGGAGGGGACATTCACCGTCCAAAGGATTCCGAATCACTGGCCTTGCCGTAGTTTTCGGAGATTTGAAGCTGCTGTTTTGTAGGGGACGGCAAAGGTGCGGGACTTGGTGTACGTTCGACTTGGGTAAAGCTCCGAGATGAACATTGATTTTCCAACAGCAAACTACCAAGCTTCATCACCAGAAGCAAGTACGTGCAAAGCATGCAAAAGTGGGAACATTCCTTCCTTCAATTCCGCTCTCCGATGAGTCATTTGTGGTCTCTCTGTTCCTGGAGGTGTTCATTTGGTGTCCTTCCCCAACCAGAAAGCTCGGCATGAGCTGCTTGGGATGTTGGAGGACCAAATCCATAATCCACGTTGTTTCATGTCTGTTTGTTCCTCCATTGACCATTCCTAGCGGATGAGTTGAGATGTTTGTTCCTGGGCTTTCTTGTGCTGAGACGTTCCTCGCAGTTTTCATGCCGACCACAAGGATGAACATAACCAATCACCAAGTCCACTAAGATTTCTCTTCTTAAAGTGTAGATGTCTCAGCCAGTTCGCCACCTTCCAACGACATTTCCATGCATTGCCGCGCTGCGGAAGAAGGCATTCCCTCTCTCCCGAAGCTCCTCCGCGTAGCCCGGTCTCTCTCTCTTTCTCTCTCTCTCTCTCTCTCTCTCTTTTATTGTAATATATAATATATATTATATGTCACTGCGTCACTTCAGTTGTCCTGGGATATAGACATTAGCGCAGCTGCTTTCTGTAGGGGCACCAATTCCCCTCAGCAGGTTTCATAGATATGCAAAGTGTTTAATTTGTAAAGGTTACTGTAACAATTGACAATTGACAACTGACTGTGTTGATTGAACAAGGCCACCTTCACTTTGCAGTCGTTGTATCTATTGTGGTTGACCCTACTAGTCGGTCACTCTGTCGGAAAATGGCCCAACCATCGAGCCGCGTAGAATGCAATCGAAACCTGCCTCGGTCAAATCAACAAGGCACCTTCATTTGAGACGTCCATCCATACTATTTCTTGTTGGTACCATCCACAATTGACATAGTCATAGGCATCATAAAAACATATAAAAAAAAACACAAGTGTGGCCCCCTCTCACTTGGTCCAAGGTCTACAAGTGATAAACCCAACTGACCAAAAGCCGAACAAAAGGGGAAAGGCTCTACACATTTTGGGGAAGCGGTCCATCCGACCAGTCCTGTGGTCCATCCGACCTATCACTGCAGCGGCTGCGTTTTTTCAGGACTCAAGTGCTAGCTTGTAATTTCTCTTCACTTTGTGACTTCTTGCACATCAACATAGCAGCTCTATCCAAATATTAACATTTAAAGAACACTTTCTTGTCCTGGGACTTCAACAGCTTCCGTTTCGAAAGTGATTGGGGTGGATGCCAGGAGGGTCTGTCCCTACCTTCTTTTCACATGTGGGCCGCCGGCCCACTGCTGCTGCTACTACTACTACTACTGCTCCTGCTCCTGCTGCTGCTTCTTCTTCTTCTCTGTTGCTCAACTTGCCTATGCCGACACGACCCTTCCTCTGACTCTCCCCAGCTTCTTTGTGGCGGCGCCTCGGCAGAGAGCGCCTTCTGTGTCGCAGCTCCTGCAAGGTGGAGAAGCAGCTTACCAAAAGCACGCAGCTCGTGGATGCCCATAAAGTGAGATCAGCTTCCAAAGGAGTCACACCAGTCATTCCAGTCATCCTGAACCAGCTCAAACATCTGATCCCATTTGAGATGTTTCGGGATGTCTTCCTTCAAGTTGGAAATCCAATTGGTGTACAGTAGCCACATTCACAACGTGATGCGCATCCGCGTTGCTGGGGCCCCAAGTGGGCCACATCAAGTCAACAAACGAGTGAAGTTCCCCCAAAATGTCCAAGTTTCCTGCTGGGAGTCATCTGGCTGACCAGTGGGGTTGTCTGTAAAAAGAAAGTGCCTGGACGTCTCGTCGAAAGTCTGGCGCCTGGAAGGTTGTCTGGCGCCTGGACGTCTCCTAGTCTCCTCCCCAAAACAATGCATTTAACAGGTGTCCCCACATATTGCGATCATATTCATGCAGCACCTACTGTCTGTCAGGTGTGTGCGAAGAGTGCTGCTGGCTGCTGAAGCTGAACGCTCTGCTTCCGGACAAACATGATGTTCAGTACGCAAAGAGTGCCATAACTAGTGTCATAGATGCTTCCTCAGACCAGATTATAGTGCTATAGACCTTGGTCATCGCAAAGGTAAATCATCACAGGATCTTTTCTTCAGGATCTATCGGTTTACTCTATGCGCCTGGATGCCTTCGCTTGTACCCCACCCATGCCCCATCCCGTGCCTTTGGCTTTTGCGCCGGAGAAGGCCCCGGCCTTGGAACTCACCCAGCCGGTTGCACAACTGAGCTGAGGTATTTGAGGTGGCCCAATTCATCCCCCCAGGAGCTGAGATGAGTACACGGATTCTATTATTTGTATCCAAGATCCATTAAAACAGCGGTAAGCGTAAAAAAGGATCCATTGTGGTCCCAGTCTGTTCTTTTTAGATCTTGGGGGTGGCACCACTTGCAGTGCCGCATGCCGGCCGGTCAGAGCAGCTACCCTCAGCCATTCCTTCTTGCTTCGTCAGTTGGATTGTAAAACCTTCAGACGTTTGCCGCGGAAGGCGAACGAAAACAATTCACCTCATTATTAATTCAGTATTAGGATGTTACGTAGTATTGAACAAAGGCGTGTTGGCAAAAGAGACACACAAAACGTGTCAAAAAATGACCTAGCTAAGCGCGCGGTTCCAGTCTTTTCCACACCAAGCACACCAAGCGCCATTCTTTGGCAGTTGTGGAAGGGGTGATACGAACATCTGCACTCGCCATTCTGCTTTGCTGCCGGACGTGTTGCTATAACTGCTAACATAGGTTGGCGCAAAACAATCAATGTATCTGCAATTACAAGTCAAGACAATTAACCATGCACGCTGCTCCGTGCCCTCAGACTGATATACAGTAGAAAGTGGACCCCCTGCTATGGGGGAACACATGCTTGCAAACACTTCCTCAGAACTAATGACCTTTAAACCACCAAACTCAGAAAGATGACGTTGCGCATCCTACGCCCCGGCTGCAAAGGGGTCATCCAGTGGTCCTCCACACGAAACCATGACTGAAACCAGAGCTCTTCATGCCGGCAAAACCTCCGGGCAGCTCCAATTCTCCAAACCCTTCAGCAAAGCTGACACTTGAAACCTGTCTGCAACACGTTCTATTTTCGACTGGATGACCGTCCCATATGACCAAAGGTCAAGCCGCATCCACAGTTCAATGTTCATATCAGGGAGCGGCACCTGGATCTTTGTTCTAAAGTCTAGACTTATATACTTGAGGCCGAGGGTTGGTGACGAAAGCTAGCAGGGCGGGGGTGAGCATGCAAATGCACACGTCCCAGAGACATCCCAGGGAGGAGTTGAACCCGTGAGGGGGGGGCCCCCATACGCATGAAGGTTTCATGCGATGCGGCGCTCTCGAGGATTCCACCCCCTCACTTGCTAAAGCAAGAACAACTCCAGCTAGCTGGTGCTAGCTTTCGTGATTCGTACAAAAACCTCTTCTACCTTTTCCACCTCCAGCAACGCACTCTAGAAGCCTGGCAACTCCTCATTTGAGGAGCCCAACTTGAACCTTCAACCCAACTCCTGCGACCCGATCACACGACCCGATCACTTGCTCCTGAGCGGTGCCGACCGATGGACCGATGAGAGCCTTAGGTATAAGAATCGTTTACAGAGCGGAGCTTCTTAGTGTCCAGGGGCATGCCTCTTTGTCACCCCAGCAGGATCAATGGAAAGTCGGAAAGTCACCGGCAAAGCTCTGATTTGGACCATGGGAGCATTCCTTCAGGAAATTGCAGTGCAACAGTCGGTAAAATCTCAAACACCAAATATATCCAAATATGGACGCGCAACACATAGATTGTAGCGGAAATTGGAAATTGATTTAAGTATGTTTGAACCTCTGTCCTTTCACAATTGTCAGGGCCTGTGTGAATTCTATGACATCTCGGGGTGCACCTTGCACGGATTTGCAGGGTCTAGCCTCGTCTCTTGCCTCCTTTGGGGGCTATCGTTTAGGTTGATGGTTGGAGACCCAAATGACGGAGGGCATGTCCGACAGTTGGCAATTATGAGGGTGTTATAATGGAACCGCATACCCGACTTGTAAGAGGAACTGCTACTCACCTTGCTTGCTTAAACATCTATGGGAGGGCAACATCGTGCGATTGCCCTCAAACTTTGTGTACCGTCTATAGCCCAGAGGTGTCGCCAGAGCCGCAAGACAGCCGGTAGGCACTCACATTCACATGCTGATCCGAGTGATCGGGGGGCTGTGATGTTCACATTCACATCTTCCGTTGCCAACTGCATCGACCACGTGTGGATCTTTCTTTGGCCATCAAATCCATGAAACAAGTTGGCGGTCTGGTTTCTCAGGTGGGAAAGTGAGAAAACAAGAACAAGCAGCTTAGAACTCTGAGAGAGAGAGAGAGAGACAACAATAACACCCGCCAAAAAAACACCAGGCAGCCGACACGCTCTGAATGATTGCGTTACGGCGTAACGCTGCGAGGCGGCATGTCCACCATCACCGCATTGCTCCACTCCGCGATGCCCAGCTGATTGATGGCGGCCGCCTCCATTCGGGATCAACTGCCAGCTCATGAAAGGGAGCATAACAAATACCCTCAACATCCCTCAACCTTGGAGGGGGGAACCGTGAGAACCCAATCGTTGGATACTTATTTGTTTCTGAGGTTGGGTATATGTCGGCTATATGTCTAAAAACGAGTCGCTCCATAGAGTATTAGTGATGCTTGCCAAGAAAAGGACTGGATGAGATCAGAAGTAAAAAGAGTCACCCAAGGATACCCAAGGTATCTATATGATATCAATATGATTAATTAAGTGTGACTGGACGTTGATCTTCCATGTTGCAATTTGACCAAAAGCAATTTTGTCCCTTTTTCGAGTCTTGAAGACCAATGAGGAAAAACACATGTTGCCTTTTTACAAGAAGGGTCAATGGGGTCCATGTCCCGTAACTACCAGAAGTGCATGACGATGCTTGGAAAGTAGTGATTCTATGTGATTCCCAAACGGCCAAGAACTAACTACTGTATGTAAACATGTCCGACTGCAAGTCGCCAGCAGAACTCAGTAGACAGAAGATACTTCCCTGGCCCACCGCCGCCCTCGAACGATGCAGGACGTCGTGGCGAGCAAAAAGGCAACTTGGGAACCTGGCGCATTGGGCAAGTTCTACACCGACCGGCCCGGAAGCGCAGCTCACACTTGCGCGTGGGAGTTTTCCCTTCGCCACCAGTAACGCCAGTCAGCCCCCCTTCTGAACGATTCCGACATCTCATTCCATCAATCTCTCACGGGCTTTTGTGCCTGGAAGTAGTACTTCAACTTCCGCAAGTGTCGGATGTCGCAGCTGTCAAAGCCATTGTCCCTGACCTCGGCATCTGGCGGAGCCACCCAGGAACGAGTCAAGAATAGCCAAAAGCCGAAGACGTGGTGAACAAATGATCTCCCTGGCCGACATGTTCGGTTCGCGCCACCTATTGCAGCACTTAGCTGATGAAAACCCTTAGCTGATGCCCTGAATCTGCAATCTCTCAGGGTCATCAGCCCAGCCCACCCAAAAACTCAGCCCAAGCTTAAGTATGGTTGCGGCCTACTTATCAGCCCTGACTTTTAGCAAATGTTGCCTGATCGAATCTGGTGCAGGGCAGCACTGGGAATCTTCCTGTCAGCCAACGTCATACGTTCATGAAACGAAGGCTTACACTCGTTTGCCAAATATTCGTGGATTGGCAAACCACCTGTTTGTAGAGGATCCACCCAAGGAACCATTTTCCACATCTTGTTTTGCTCGACATGGTGCAAGGCTTCTCCAAGGACTGAGAAGACATGGTTTGATCTGACCCTTCTTCTGCAATCATCACAGGCAAAACCCCTCTGGCCCCATCACCGCGAAAACACACGGTCTTTTTGCGGGCGATTTCGCCATGGTTCCACTCTCGAAAGGAGTGAAAGGCACAGTTGCTGAGACGGCGGGTGGGGAGGTGTCATTCTCAGTCTCCGAGAGTTCCCCAATCCGTTCCGGTTCCGAGAGTTCTCCGATGGATTTCCTTCGAGTCGAGTCTCAAAAGAACACCATCATCACGTGGAAACAATGGCAGGAACACCTGACAAAACCACAGGAAATTCCTGGCTTTTGAAAGGGGTTCCCTTTGAGTCCCTTTTGGTGAGGATCTGTCATTGTCTCCCCTTCTCAGATTTTGCCGAGAACGCACCCCTGTACGTGACCAAACAGCCTCGCAGAACCAGCACGAATTCTGTAGAGCTCAAGCGATTCAAAAAGCATTGCAATGAATGTAGACTCTTGAGAAAGAAAACCTCCCCCATTTGGATGAACGGACTTGCGGACAGTCGAGTCTGGCGCGCCTCCACGCTCCCCCTTGCTATATTGTATAGCGGGTGAAGGTGGATGTGGGGGGTGAGACATACTACCTGATGACACGTGAAAAGGTCGAGATAAAAGAGACTGTACACTACGAAGGCATACGAGAAGCGGCAACAAACAATGTGTCTGGATCGGTAGGTGTCTCGAAGATCTTTGTGGGTGCAAAGTGAATTGGCAGGTAAATTATCTAATTGGGGCCCGGATGTACAACCAAGTCGAAATTCTTCTTCCTGAACAAATAGTACCTGATATGTTGCGTGAACTTTTCCCTTTTGCTCATGGAAACCTCTGGCCAATTTGGCCACGGTGGTCGATCGTCACGTGGAACGATTGGAAGTGGGAGTATTTCATTATGAAATGGCGGGTTATGTGGAATTGTCAGAACCAGGTCTTTCAAATACTGGTATGTTTCTGCTGCGTTGGGGAGTTCAGGATGTCTAGAAATTCCAGACTCGTGATATCTGGAAAATCCCAGTCTAGTAAGGCTAGATGTTCCCTGTTGTTTGTAAGCTGGTACAATCTTGCATCTTGAAAATGTCTGTAGGTGTTTGATAATCAGGCGAAAGGTCTCTGCTAGGACTCGCACCGATTTAAGTTTCACGGGCTGAAGGCTGGTTTTTGGATCATCGTATTCTAGTATTTCTTGAGACGCTTTATTAGCGACTCTGATGGGTAGCGAGCGTCCTGCCCATAGCATGAACGATACTGCCAATTCCGTCCAAGATATTCCCGGATCTTTAGGGACCGGTGCTGCCGTTTCGGCAGGCCACTTTAGCACGGTGCAAAAGGTCCAGACAAGTCGCGCATGATTGCAACCCCAAGGGCAGGACCAGAAAACAACTCTGTGTGGTTCTGCAGGCAAGGTAAACAAATTAGTAGCTGAAGGCCAATCGCGAAGTTCAGCCAGCTTTGACGAAAACGACGGTGTCAGAATTGTAGATTGCTGGCCTGCTTCTGTTTGCTGATCAGCAGCATTCATGGTCTTTTTGTTCTCAGTGGCAATTTCATCTAAGGTAGTCATACGTTCGCAAGACAAGTCGAGAATATATTTATAGATTTCATAAATGTTTTGTCGTTGTGTCTGGTAGTGTGCACGTAAGTGTTCACACTGTTGTAGAAAGTCGGGCAGGTCAGCAGCGCATGTTCGCACTGCGGCCTCGTCAGCGAACATATTTCCTAGAATATGGTATTCCTCCTCACTGGAATGTGCATCTTCAAGTTTCTGGTGGGACCGAATCTTGAAAACGTGGAATCTATGGCATATCCACACTTTACACAGTTGTGTAATTAGGTCCCAGTGATCTCTTTTGTGAGGGGATTCCAGAATGGTGCCCTCTTCGATATGGGATATCACATTTACTACGAATTGCGAGTCCGTGTAGAAAGAAACCTGGGAGGTGTCGTCAGATAGGTTGGCTTGTTCGGCACTAATCACTAGGGCAAACAACTCGGCACGATTTATAGTTTGTTTTCCCGGGCAGTGTCCTGTGGCCAGGACTTGGTATTTATTTTCTAAGGTAGATGATGACCGTGAGCGATGTACAACCGCCCAAGCAGCTCTTGCGGCGTAGGGGCTCGTGGGATTTTGGCATGACCCGTCCGTATAAAACACATCACCATTGTGGACATTAATTTGTGTATCAATATGTACGGTTTGGTAACGGAGGTGCATGGCCTGTCGGATCAAGGCTAGCTCTGACGAATGCACGGGCAACGGGAACCAACATAGGTATGTGTGCATCTGCAAGTGTTGTATAGCCTTTGGATGTTGTTTACGTATATGTTGAAAGGCTGGGCACTCAAGCAGGAAGTGTTTATGCGTGTCGAACTGTTTGCAAAATGGGCATTCTGGTGACTGTGTGGCACTCCATTGGGCTATAACCCCGTTGGACTGCCATCCGGCAGTAATGGTGATGGCTAAGATTCTACGTTGTCTATCCGTGAAGTGTTCTAAGATTTTATTAGCTGTCCAAGAATCGAATGGCGTAGGAGGAACGCCTTTGCGGTGCGAAATCTCATTATGGCAATGCCAATCCCATGCAATTCTCAACTCTTTTTTAATGGCTTTGCTTGTAGCAGTTTGGATATTAATGCGTAATCCTCCGGGTCCCAGTAACGTTGCACCGGGTGTGACCTCCCAATCGAGACGATGGATGTATGCGGCCAGGGCCGTTGCCGGACCGTGGACTTGGCCACTATACCTACGAAGGGATTGCACGAAATTGTTGGCAAGTGACGGGTGGTACACAAATAGCCTACGCAATGTAGTGAACATGTCCGAAATGACGTATAGCATGGGGTCTTGAACCCTGTGTGACAGAAAATGAAGTGCTACGTGGCTTGAGGCTTGTTTATGGTCACCCACGAGTACATTGGTGGCGGCTCTTCTAAGGTTGGTGAAATGCTTTTCTCCAATGGTCATACCGAGGGCACCGTAAAATGTCGCGGGCCAAATGGCCGTTTGAATTTTTTCTGCCCGTTCCTCTAAGCTCAAATTTAGTTTTCGAAGTCTATTGCATTTGGCCATTGCATTGTCAATTTTATCACGAAGTGGGCCGAGTACTACCTGGTTTGTATAAGCAATCATGCAGCCTAGGTCTTGTACATGGTTCTTAATTTTGAATCGGAAGTTAGGCTGTAGCATTATTTGGGATGCGTCATGCCAGAACTGTCTTAGTGGTTTGGACGTCGCCCATCCCCATGACTTATCCAAATCGATTCGCATACGTAGGTCGTGGACAAGATTAAGGATAGTAATCATAGTGCGAAATGTTTCCCGCTCTGATGTCGACATAAATGACCAATTGTCTGCGTATGTGTATGGGTAGATCTGTGGTGACTTGATTGCATGATGGAAAACGAAGCTAAGTGCTAGCATTCCAACCACCGACATTGAATCTCCTTCTGGGAGACCGGTTGTCGAAATGGCAGCCGGTCCAATAGCACGTCCGCACTGCAGGACTCTGGTCAGTCGACGTAATGATTTAAACCAGAAGTCACTTACGAAGACTGGGATGCCCAGTAGACGAAGGATGTATCGGACCACTCGTCTTGGGATGAGATTAAATGCTTTGACCAGGTCCATGGTCCAACCGCACCACGCAGTTCGGTGTGTACGAGCTTCTTCAATTTTTAGCATCTGGATTAAACTTAAATCCCTGGCCGAACGATGGGGAAGTCCTCCGCTAATCTCGGAAGGCCAGGTACTTGTCCATTGTTTTAAAACTTGATCAGCAATAAGCTTGGACGTTAGACGGGCTAAGTAGCCTAATATGGTAATGGGTCTCCCGTCGGAAATAGATTCTGGTTGAGGTTTTTTGGCGAATAACAATGTCCTGGCTTGCATGTGCTGTGCAGTATGTCCATATGACCAGGTTTTGGAGAGGATTTTAGACAAGTCAACAACCATATCCCATGTAAGTGCTTGCAGTTCTTCCGCATGCCATCCATCTTCTCCTATTGCCTTGTAGGGTTTTAGTCTGTGAATTGTGTCCCATAACACGTGTGGGCAGTCGTACTTGATCTGGAGTGGGGTTTGGGGTGGGATGATGTCCTCAAGTCGCCTAAATAAATCAGCCCATGGTTCGTCTGATTCCTGGTCATGCATAGAGTCGCGCTGCCAAAATTGTGCCCAGTAGCGATGAAAAGCTTCGGACATTGGTTCTATGGTGTATGCATGTGTATTGTAGGACAACAAGGCTTTTGCAGGGACGTGGCCCTGCAGTTTGCATAATGCCATTCGGGTATTCTGGATTGAACGGACTTCTGCTGTGCATTCACCGAAATGGACTCGACTGCCTATCTGGACTGGGAGTCTTTTCTGGAGATGTAGGACTGTCTGACCTTTGGAACTGCGGCACAAGGTAGCTTCTGATTGATGAGTGACAGGGATGTCGTGCAAGAATTTCTGGTCTTTATTTTTAATATATTTATAGGCTTGAGCGTTGTTCGTGTGGGACAAAGCATAGGCAATGGAGTGACGTTTGTGATGTCTTCTTAAATGGGACTCTTGGCGTGCGTATGCGTCTGATTCAAACTTCGTAAGCTGTAATACTTCCTGCAGCCAATCTGCGGACGGTGTGTCAACTGGTATGTGGGTAACAAACTCGAAGCTCAAAATCCATGCGGCCCAAGATCTACCAAAGCCCTGTGCCTTTTGGATGACATTCCATTCCTGTTGTAACTGTTGTTTGAGGACTGGATTTTCGCACTGTGGTCTAAGCTTCTTCAAGTGTTGTAACAATGAAGCTATTCTTCTAACCTGTCGTACTTTCTGGCGTGCTTTGCAAGAAGTGATCTCTGTCGGTGGTTCGTATGCGTGAGTCGTGTCAATCTTAACTGTTCGTGGTGCAACATGGGTGACATATTTGGTGGGTGTGCCTCTGCCAAAATATTTCTTGCCAAGGTTAGGTCGAGGGTAACGTAGGGGGTCTTGGATGTGCTGTTCTCTGAGTGTGCCCTGTACTGCCCGTTCAATCCCCTTGGACCAACTTTCGAATGCGGCATTGATTCTGGCTTCTGTAGATAGATCGTCGTCGAGTAGAAATTGCCGTGAAGTCCGGGTATAGTGCCTAGCAAAAACCTCTGGCTTCAACGGGATGTCACCCCAACTTTGTGGCATGAACCAGTTTCGCAACATGCGTTGTGTCCCAGGGACCCGAAATCTGATGAAGAGTGGGCTGTGGTCGGGGAAGACATTGGCTTCTCCAACCCAGATATCTTGTATCCACGGCACAAGCGCTTCATGTATTATAAAACTATCATTTCGTGTGCTGTTACGACATGTGGGTGGCAATTGTTTGTCGAGTTTCATAGAGGCCAAATGAAAGGCCTCTTGACATCTGATACTTTGGAAAGCACGATATGCGGGGAAATCTCGTACGGGATTATTGAAGTCAGCGGCTACTAAGAAAGGTAAGTTGGTAGATGCACATACTTGGTAAATTTCAGCAAGTAAGTAATCACTTTTAGATTTAGCTTCATGTGTCTTTCCTGCAACGAAATAGGCTGTCACCAAGAGCACTTCCACATGGCCTATAACCAGGATTTGTTGCGAAACCCGGAGTGTCTCTTCTAACCATGTTGGTAGTGGTATTCTTGGTGTCCTATGTGGGATACGTTGGAGGGATGCCGTTCCTAATGCTGCACCACGTTTAGCATTGTCATGCAAGAACGGATTGTTAAGCTGTCTTTGACTGGGTACCGGTGGGCCCCACGAAATGTGGTATTCGGTCGATTTCAAAAATTTGCTGAATTCAACTTGTACTGACGATGTCGCTGATGTTTCAACCAAACTAATACAATCTGCATTCAAGTTAACGATATCGGTGTGTCTGTCGGGTATACTAGTAGGGTTCAAGACCGCAAAAACAATGTCCTTAGTCTGGTTGCCAGGGCCCGGATGCGACGCCTCACCAACCCTGCATCCTTTGTATGGGTCAAAAACCTCAGTATTAGCAAAGCTGTTCTGGTGGTCGGAATGGCAAATGAGATTTGAGACAAGGTAGGAATGATGCAGGTTGAATGGCCCCAAATACTCCCACCCAAGGGTGAACAATGCCTTTTTCCGGAACAAATCTGCTTCGAGAGATGGACCTGGTTGCATCATGCATGAATTAGCATTCTGGTCGCCGACAGTTGGAAAAGCAAGACGGGTTATCAAGGTGTGTCCTCTGAGGTCGGGCAAGGCTTTCCGCGATGCAAAAAACTTCAAAGACATTCCTTGGGCATTGCACCAACTCTGCGAATTCTTATCAGCAAAGGCATCGAATGGCTTCGGCTGTGTGTTCCAACGAAGGCAAGCGTTACCTAAGCTTTGGCAATTGCTGTTAGACTGGGTCGCGATCAACTTGCTGCTATGATAGCCCCACTTAATGATCGTTACCCCTCCATATCTTCATCTCTGTCTCCGCGCTTCCTGGATGTGCCGCTTAGAAGGGCTTTCAAGGATTCAAAATCCTCTTTGAAGCCACGTTGCAGCACTTCCTGAGTCTGGCCTAGTGCTGCGGTAAGCGTTTGTTGGAACGATGCTTTTACATCTGTTACCTCCCTTCGCACTGCAGCAAATTCATTATGCACTTCTTTGCGTAAGCCGGCTGTATCTTTGTTTTGTTGATGTACTGCTTTCTCGAGTGCTGTGATCTGGTGCTTCATTGCGTCAATCTCTTGCTGTTGTTCACCATGGTTCGAATTGCTGCTCCTAGTGGACTCTGCCTTGCTCGAAGAAGAGCTTGCATTTGTGACTGACGGTGATGGCCACCATGGATCATTAGACCAGATGTTTGCTTTTGCCTGTGCCCATGGGTCTGACACGGTGAATGGATCAATGGGCTCTGACTCTTTTTTATCTGCTTTCCATGTGCGTCTGGTTTTGTATGTTGGGGTGAATTGAGTCGATGCGGCAAGCACAGTCTGTTGTCCACGGTTGTATTTAGAGTCAATCTGCTTTAACATGACGGCATTGCGTTTCCATGTGAGATGATGTCTTTCAATTCGCTCCTGGGCAATCAAAAGCCATGTCGACGAGCTTAAGGCACGAAGTGGCTTAGCAGGGAGCTTTTCTAGCGTGATCCAGGCTTGGATATCTTCAGCTGTGACTCCCTCGGGGAGGGGGGAGATTTTGTAAAGATACTCACCTGCAAACTGCTGAGGCTGTGTTTCTCCCGGCTTAAGCGTCTGCCATGCCAGATTGAAATCCTTGGCCCACACGCGAACACCGTAAGTTGGTCGCTCTTTAGACGATCTGACCACCCCCAAGGCGCATTCTAGTTTTTCAGCTTGTGTCAGAGCTTCTGGACCAGTCGAGGCTCCTGTCCAGATCACATTAAACCTAGAGTCTGCCAAAGTTGAGTGCTCGCTCTTAGGTGTGATGTACATGCCTTCTAGGCCTGATTTCTTCAAGACTGGTGTAAGCATGGATGTCAGGATACGGGCATAGAAGCAGAAACTATCGGCTTCATATGGATCGACTGCCTGACGATTTGCTCGCCAGCTTCTGCCTACTGGAGCTCCTGCGATCACTTCTGAAGGTACGATCTGCAGCTGCTTGAAGACTGTCTGAATTGGTGCTTCAATTAAGTGCATCCAAGTCTCCTCTGGGCATTCATGTCGCCACACCACGAGCATGGCCTTAGTTGACTCGGTAACTTTGGCTCCGTCACCCGGAGATACTTTGTGCTTGATTGGATTCTTTCCTATCGAATGGCAGCAGGCAGCTATTATGAGCTTCTCGTCTGCACGAGTTCGCACCTGGAGGTTGAGCTTGTTGCACGCACTGTCTTGCAGTGGACATTGTGTCCCAGGGACAATTGCGAGCAGCTCATTGGGTGGTGTTTGTCTGACTTTTCTTGCAAACGCGACAATTTCTGTTGCATCCACAAACACAATGCCTGCTTCTTGGGGCCCTACCTGCTCCTGCATTTTGACCTCGGTATCATCTGCTCTGCAGAAGGTGCCTGGCTCCACGGTCAGTTCAGCAGGATTCACTGGAAATGGCTCAGCTACTTTGCTCCGCCACTGCAATTTAATCTTCTTGGTTCGCTCGGCTTCAAGGTCGAACCTTTCTGGCAACTTAATGCGTGTCTGTTGCGAGAGCAAGGTGCATTGTTGTACAAATGCCTCTTCTTCCTTCAGTGCAAGAACATGGCGGAGTCTTGCGGCGCCAGCTTCTTGGTACAATTGAGTGACAAACTGTTTGGCCTCAATAGGGTCGTACCCTAATTGGAGTACCCGTTCTGTGAAGTCATCTTTCAATTTGGCAGCGGCTTCCGCCTTTGTCCCTCCACCTTCCAACTGCAGGATGAGGTGTATCCTCAGGGGTCTATCACGAGTGGCATTGTCATCTAAATAGTGCTGGATGGTCCAGTCCGGGTTTGTCCGTCGACCTCTGATGATGGTTCGAAGTTCGTCGTGTCGGCCAAAACAGCTAGCAGCCTTTGACCAAGCGGAGGCAAACTTTCCGGACAGCGTTTCTGGTGTGACCATGCCTTCCCAAATGTAGCTATCCCACAGTTTGACTTGCACCGCAAAACCTGTGGATTCTGGTGGTTCTGCCTGGTTGAGTAGCAGCAGTGTCAATCTTGTCGTCAAAACATTAAGCAAGGCTTGGAGTGCCACTCCAGAAGCATTCCTACAACGAGTCATGCTGAGTTGTACTTGCTTCGGACTGGTTATCCCACTTCCTGGGTGTGAGTCAAGTACAGTCTTCCAGCCTAGGGCCCGAATAATGTCGCTCCATCCAAGGACTGTGAATTGGTGCAGGAGCCACAAGGCATCATGCATGGACAGGTCAATCACTGCTCTATCCTGGTTAGGTGTCCATTGATGCTTCATGAGCTTGTCAAGGTCAACCTCCACAGGGTTGGTTTGGGGCATCACGAAAACCAGATCTGGTGGGTGTGTCTCTAAGCCGTGCATGCGTCCAAGGTGGTCTTGACAAATCATTGTTTGCTGGAAATGAGGATTCAAAGCCTCGATAATGTCTTCAATCGCCCCCATCTTGGATCTCAACATCACGAAAATGCCACTTGGCGTGAGTGCAATGACATAATCCGACTTTCTGCTCACGAACATGTGCTCTTCAAGCGAAAGGGGCCCCGTCATGAAGTCCACGATGTGCATGCCATCTGCAGGTAAGGTGTCTTCCATGAAAAGGGGGAGCTTTGTGGATGCATCCCCGCGTGGTTGCCATTGAAGATTTGCATTCGTTGGTGTATGATACAGTATCCTCAGGATTGCAAGAACCTGTACCTCTTTAGTCATACGGATAACCAGTGTGGCTTTTCCCTGTGTGATCCGAAGTGCATTGAAGTGGCAGCGTTCTTCTTCCCAGCTTGCAGTGGGTGAAACAGGGTTTCTTTCAATTATCAGCATCTGCTTAGACTGGTCAAGCCTGGACATGGTGTCTTGTGCCGTCAGCCGCATGGACAACAGATCTTCTACAATCCACGTGGGTACCTGAGTCCAGTCAATGGATGTCATCTGCGCTATACCGTTGATTAGACCGAGCAATGCATGGGGCACTGCAATTGCATTTCCCAATAGATGATATGCAATTCTGGCATCACATGGCATGTAAACTGGGTGGGCACTTCCAAACAGCAATGTAACTTCTGCGATTGAGAGGAGCCGAACTCGACCATTGTGGATAACGAAAGCCCCCAGCAACCCCTTTTGGCATAATGTTTCAATTGGCAGTTCATGGGACTTGGAATAACTGGCCATGATGCATGGATGAGGGTCTTGCACCGTCTTAATTCTGCATTTTCTAATTTGATACGGAGTTGTGCCTGTTCCCTGTGGCAGGAGTCGGATCTGGAAGTACATCTCAAAGGTCTCTGCGCTCAGGTTTGGTGTGAACTCATGGCTAACATCCGTGTCTGGCAAGAGAATTGACTGTAGTGTTGGAGCTGGATCGGCTTTTTTCCAAGACCCTGGTGCCAGGCGTTTGATGCGTGCATCCCCTTTGCGCACGGCCACTAGCATAAGTCTTGTACGTGACTGTGGCATAACTTCTAGCAAGTTCAAATTTTCCTTCCAAATGATCTCATATCCTGCCCAGTCGAAGAACGCAATAATCCAGGGAGCATGTGTGTGTGCAAACACGGAAGCAACTTCTTCAAGGACGATGACCGCCGGTTGCAAGAAAGTGCATTGGATGATGGCATATATGATCAACCGGCCCTCCTCACAGTCTAGACCTCTTTCGGCCCCTGCTCTGCTCCAAGGTTGACAAGGTGGAGATGCTGCGAGTATGTCGATCGGTTCCACTAGATGACACCACCAACCGTGTTCAATGTTTGCCACTATCGTCAAATGCTCTTTGGGTGGTTCTCCTTTTTCTCCTAGGTCGAAGGCTTGATCGGAAGAGCCAATTGGAGGGAAGTTGGAATGGTTCCGTGCATGAACTCTGGCAGCGAGGATGTCGTTTTCTATGGAGAAGACTTGTTTGACTGGCAGAAAGGCATCAATTAATGTCTTGGCGGCAAAGCTCCATCCAGAAAATCCACCTGCGAAGAATTCTCCTATTCTAATTGGTTTCTGTTTATCAGGATTGTCAGGATGCATTGGCATGATTCCCGCCTGAGGTGCACGAACATCAATGATGCATTTTCCGTCAACCCACAACAGCCTTGCCTCAATGATAAAGATCCTCCTGTCTTGTCCTATCAAATGCCTCAAGCGACTTGGTAGTGACAGAAAGGCAAATGTGGACTTATCATGTGTACATTCCGGCCAGGAAAAGTCCATATCTCCTACGCATTTGCTCCTGACAACGTGTGGGCTACAAAGACGGCATGTAACCAGGTCATACTCGTTCCAGGTCTGAGCAAACGACCCCACTATGGCCTCGGCTGAGACACCTCTGGTGTGGCAGTGACACAAGGCTTCGACAGGGCGGTGTTTTCTTACGAAATCAGCCATAGTACTCCTGGTGTTATGCTTCAGTGGAGGTAATGGTTGTCCTGGTCTCCATGTAATCTCAGGGCCTCCTCCCCGTACATGCCTATCAACCCATTGCGTTTGCATGAGGTGTGCTAAGAACAGGGTGCGGACAGCAAATGCGAATTGAATCAGGAAGTGGTCTTGTGTGGCGAGACGCCACGCCCTGACCGCATATCTTCCTATGTATGCGAAGTCCTCGGCCCATTGGTGTGTCTGAAGTTGGTGCACGCTTTCTTCACAAGACGGCATGAATGTGAAATCTGCAGCGTCGAAACAGCCTTGTAGCATTTTGAAGCCGCACATGCCATCTGGGCAGTCGTACGGGAATTGGTGTGCTCTAATCCTGTGTGTTTGGACCTGCAGAAACCGTGCTAGTGCTTGCAGAAAAGCTGGGAAATCCTGGGCCTCCTGTGAGGGAAAACCGTACACATGTATCCAGACAAGCCCCCCGTCAAACAGGACATGCACAGCGAACCAGTGATGTTGGCGGGCAACCAAGAATCTATGCTCAAGGTGGTTGGCTGTGTTGGGTCGCCTATTGGAAATGACCTCAATATCGTTTGCCCCCGGTTGCCACATACAACATGGAAGGAAATTCACATGGCCTGCAAAATGACGGCATATGTCGATGGTGTAGTCCAGTTCGTCCGATGCTGCTAGAGCTGGGTAGACACAAAATTCTTGGACCCTGGTGCGTGTTCTCTGCAATCCTGGCCCACTTTGAGAGATTCTCAGTCCCCCAAATTCTTCCCCGAGGAAATCGGTCTGGGCTCCAGCATGGACATGGATATTGTGATGCACTGGAACAATTGCTAGGTTTTGCTCTTCGGCTGTTAGCTCAGTCGTCTGGGTAGCAACAGTACTTATTTGTCGTTCCGGGGAGTCGGCAGTTGACTGACCAAATACAGACAGCGGGTGACCTGCAGCACAAATGGCCAGTGTGTCAAGTCGAGTGTGTACACTAGTGTTGAACTGGAATAGATGTGTAAGAAAAGCTTGCCGTATTGTGTACGCAACTTGCTGCAGTTCTGTGTTAGCCTGTGTTTGTGCCCATGCATGTGCCGACTTTTCAAGGACTCTTGCTATGATTCTCTTGCGATCGTCAGCCAAACCTTGGAATTCTGAAAGGGTCCTCGCAAATGTATGTTGTGCATGGGACAAGACCATCCATCTCCACACTAACGACCATCCACACATGTTTGGAGGGCCAGTATTGTTCCAGTGTCTTATGACTAGGCGATGTCCAGGAATCTGAAGGATGTGACTGATGAACATTTCGAGTCTGACCTGGTTTGCTTGTGGGCACTGAAGTATGGCCACCTCTGGCATTTGATGCTGTTTATCAATCTCGACCCCCATCCAGTGCGCTCCGTAGAGAATAGGAAGCAAACTGATACCAGTATTTGGTATATGGATTTCATTGCACTCAAAGACAAATTCATCCGTCACAGTCGAATATATGGCTGCTGGCAAGAAATGAAAATGAGATTCGGCTCTCCTCATACGATTGGCCATGAATGCCCATTCGTCTGTCGCCATCCAACCCTCTGTTTCTTGTGCGAAGACAAAACGCTCCCCCAAGGTTGCGTGCGGGCGCAAAAAGGCCGCTCGGGCTGATGTCCAAGTGGGCGCCCCGCCCGCGGCCACGAGAGGGTATTGTCGCTTTTTGGCCAAATGTTTCTCCAACGTATCACCCTCCGAAACGAGTCTTTCAGGTATGAGACCCTGGTAGTTGCGTATGCCCATGGCAGTGCTCCCCATGCGCGCCCCGGGGTGCTCTGTCGAGCAAGGGTAGAAACGGCTGCCAAACAATAGGTCACAAGCACCGGAGACTCTTGGAGGTGGTTTGTTTTGCCCTACCTCATCTTGTGTCCGGATGGCTCCCAGGGTGCTGAGACCGCTAGGGGACGGTTCATTCTGCCCTGTCCCTTCTTGATCTTTCTTCGTTTCACTGACGCTCTCAACATCTGGAGGTGGTTCATCTGTCCCTACCTCATCTTGATCCTTTTTTGAGTGGTCAAAACATGGGGATTTTAGCATGTCGCAGGATGTCATGTGCATGCTTCTCATATCATTCAACTCGAGATGTTGGTCTTGAGATGGAGGTGTTGTCCATCGGCTGAGCGTTCGCGAGCACCCAATTCCCTTGCGCTGCCAAAATTCGAGGCAAGATCTTCTCCAGCTTCTGTTCGGCCATGTGTTGATTGTCATGCTATAGATCAAAGCACGGCACCATCGCAGTGATTTGGTAAAGCTGACTCCGAATCGAAACCAAGTCACTAGAACATTCACCATGTAGATCGTTTCGATACTTTGGCGAAAAAAGACCTCTTCGTTCATCCCCACAAGCCATTCGAGAGTCGCCTGTGTCGCAATGAGGTGATCCACCATGGGCACATGTGGGCCTTGGTCCTCTTGAGTGCCTTCACTAACATGTGGGTCATTCCAAGCGGCAATCCATGTCGTTCCCCAAGTCTCCTGTATCTCACAAAGAAACCACTTCTCAGGATCCTGAGACAGGAGGTCCTCATACACAGCACGTCGCACTTTCAACCGGCTTCCCTTGTCACCATCCAAGGATTCCGACCAAATCTCTAGGACAGCGAAGTCATGGCAGACCTGTAAGGTACACCATCTGTCAATTCGGATCTGCCTCCTCTGAGTACTCAGGATCTTTTCCGTTGATCTGACTTTCCCAGTGTACATGTAGTCCCGACATGGCGGCAGTGGCATGACCCGATTTGCAGCCGTGGTGAGAACCACAGCTGACAGCCAAACCGCGCGAAGGTTCGGGCCGTAATGGCTTCCCCCATTTGGATTGTTAAAACCATCAAACCTCTTATATAAATGTGGTTGCTTTATGAATGAACCGTCTAGATTATTGTAGAATGTGATTATCTGATGCGTAGTGAGTCCTGTTCTCCTTCGTGTCACTTCGAGATCACATGGTCTAACCGTCTAACCGGAGTGAACTGGGCCTCCATCGGAGACATTGGCCTTAGGTTCGACTAGACGTCCGCATCACCCACATTGGCGCCGGTGGCCACCAAAGGACATCATGCATGGAAAAGAATGTTCGATTTGAGCACGGTCCGGGCTTTGATGCATGTAGGATCGATGCTGATCGATGCAGGGTATTCTCCCATACTTCGAATGAGAGTGTTCGGAGAACCGATGTTCCAGAACTTCCATGACTCATGTTGCCCCATCTCTTTTCTTCGTGTCGTTTAGCGAGTCGTAACCCAATGACAATATCACGACTAATGAAGGGAGCAAAACGTGGTAGGATCTTTAAGATCTCAGATCGGTCATCTGAGTGATCATCTGGAGGGTGTGTGCTAAGTCCTTTCTTGAAGACTGTTTCTTGGACCCTCCCCACAGCCCTGGATTCGGATGATGCTGGGAGGCCTGACTCCCAAAATGATTGGGGAAAACCCCACGGACGATAGGAACTGAAGTGGGGAGTTTGCCTGATGCATCCTGGTGGTTTTGTCTGTATTTCGTTCACTGCTGCTTCGCCCGGAGTTGGGCCCCTACCAGTCCACTCACCCCTTGGGGAGAGACCCCATTCACAAAAGGCTAAAACCCGCGAAGTCTTCACTCACCACTCTCAGAATTGTGGGCTGTACCTGTCCTCATTGTCCACGGTTTCAGCGTTGCCCGAGTGGCTCAAATCCGACTCGCCCCGCTCCAACTTCACTCGCGTGAACGTACAGCGGCGTGCTGGAATGCTGCAGCTAATTAGGCCCTGTCAAGACTGGCTCAATATCTCACAAGGGTAGGAGCCTGGCCTGAAGAGTCTCCCCGCATTCTAATCCAATAAGGGATTCCTCAAAGAATTGACGGCTCAATTCACACCTGCAAGATGCAACAAAGTTCCAGCTAGGACTCGAGCTACCCTTGTTGCGACGGCACTCTGCAGACTTTCTGCATGTTGCATCATTTTGCAGCGTTAAAACACTCATGCATGCGGCGCACAGCAAAAATGGACGACACTTTTGGTTCCATGTTACTGCCCGATCTGACTTGAGCTGAGGCATCTGAGCGCAATATACTCCTGTAACATCCTGTAGCTACTCCAGTGCATTAAGAATATTTGCAACGTATACTGTAAGACCTATAGTTGTGTGTGTGTGTCTTAAACAGGAATGGACAGGTGGCCAAGTGGCCTTATGGGCCGTATCCGCGGTCGAACAAGCAAAAAGCCATGGCGGGCTTTCGAGTGGACGCACGCCCTTCAGGAAGCCGAATATTACACTCCCGACAACTAACATGGAAGTGGAAAACCACCTGTTTGTAGTGGAAAATGGTCTTCCAAGGGGCCATTCTCCACTTCCATGTTAGTTCCAGGGAGTGCATTTGACCCGCCAGATTGTACACACATGGCAGGTGCTTCGGTGGTGTGAACTGGGAAGAAGGACACGACATCGTGACACATCTGCAGGTGCCCTGTACATGAGCTTTCCCACTGGAAGTGGCAGGGGCCCCATAGGTGCGTATACGGGGTTCCATCTTCCACTCGTTCAGGGTCTGCACTCGTTTGATCGCTACCTCAGGTCGGATTTCATTCATTTGCCTCCTTATTCGTTTGCACTCCTGGCCGTGACAGATCGTTTGCACCATGAAAACGGTCCAGCTGGCCTGGGCAAGAGATCCGTTCGAGGCTGCCCAGTTCAGGCCAGCTGATTCACCGTCCGAGGCTGCCCATTGTCCTGTTCCACAACCACTTGCCCTGCAGAGGCTTGTGGGCCACAAAGGGCAAAAGGATCAAACGGCATAGCTTGCCGAGATCAAACCTTGCAGCTCTGCGCGTGCATGAATTAGTGCTTAAGGCGAACAAAGCCGCCAAGAGTCGGGGTTCAAAGTCAACAGGGACCGCCATCGCCTTGTTCGTTGGATCTTCCGACCGCACCAGCAAAGAACCCAAATCCTCATCTGCAGATTTTGAGCATGTATTTGCAAATCCGCCGCCCAAGCCATGTAGATCCGACGTTCATGCCCACTTAGATCGATGGCATGGACTTGGCCGATACAACAGCTATCACCTCAGCACACATGTTCTATCATGTCCTTTTTTGCAGTGAGTGAGGTTTCTGCCGCAGTCGGCAGTCAGTCATCGACAAATGGCCAACTCCAAAACGTCGACTCGTTCTGCATTTCGGGTTTCTGAACAAACGTCGATCACCGCAGAACCACAGCCGATCACCGCAGAACCAGAGACACCGCCAGGGAACCCATTGAGTTGCCGAGTGCTTTGAAGATCGTTAATCATGGAAAAATGCTGCACCATTGTCCAACATGGGGATTTGCGACAACTGATGCCCCCAAAAAATAGAAAACACTGTCCTGTCATGTCCTATCATTCTAAGAACACACATACAGCCTGTCTCGAAATCCTAAATCTCCAGTGCTTGTTATGACCTCCTTGTCAAAAAAAGGGTTCGTCCCCAGCTGTCACACAAGCCGACCAAAACCTCTGGGGCCACTGTGCCTAAAATCCGTGGGGTTTTCTTATGTTTTCTTTTCACAGTTTGGGACAGAGTCCATCGTGTTTCTTCATATGTGCCTTGTGATATCTCAAACCCTCCATCCAAAATTCACGGGCCACCCAGAGGCATCCGTCATGGCGGTGTCATCTATTTCTGCTTCTCTCGCCTTCTCTTTCAAGGCAGAGTCTGGCTGCCACGCAGCCATCCTGCGCTATAGACTTAAATTGGACTGTCACTTGCAAAGGAAGAGCCAATCACGAGACCAGGAGACACCGCCAGGGAACCCATTGAGCTGCCGAGTGCTTTGATAGTAGTGATCGTTGGCTTTGAGCGGCCAAAACGGCCAAATCAAATCATGGAAAAATGCTGCACCATTGTCCAACATGGGGATTTGCGAACAACTGTGGCTGTCCTACCGGTATGTGCTGTGATATGTTGTGTCTCTTGTGAAAGTGCCACATCACCCTGAAGCAGTGTGCATTTGCGCGTTGACAATGAGAGATGATATGCAAGCACCCCATACCACCATTTTAGCGCCCCTATTCATACAACCCTGTCAAAAAAACAGCACGCATGAATACAATCCGTCCCCACTTCCTCGCATGAAAATAAATGACGCGTATGGCTCACAATTGAAAATCGCCCATCAATCTGAAGGACCACGGGCACAAAAGAAGATGCCCCGAAAAATAGAAAACACAGTCCTGTCATGTCCTATCATTCTAAAAGCGCACATACAGCCTGTCTCGAAATCCACAATCTCCAATGCGTGTTATGACCTCATTGCCAAAAAGAAGGGTTCGTCCCCAGCTGTCACACAAGCCGACCAAAACCTCCGGGGCCACTGTGCCTAATCCGTCGGGTATTTTTTCACGGTTCCCTCCATCGTGTTTTTCATACCCCTGTGATATCTCAAACCCTCCACCCGAACACACGGTCAGCAAAGAGGCATCCGTCATGGCGGTGTCATCTCTTCCTTCTTCTCTCAAGGCAGGGTCTGGCTACCATAGGGCCATCCTGCGATGTATTGGGGTATTAGGTTGCCGCTCTCAAAGGAAGCGCCAAGCCGATCATGAGACCAGGAGACACCGCATGGGAACCCATTGGGTTTGCCAAGTGCTTTCAAAGGTAATGTGTACATATATATATATATATATAGTTATACAGTATAAATGCGGGTGTTTTGCGACATGTGTGTGTGTGTGTGTCACGCCCTGTACCTAAGGGTTTGAGTTTCTTTCACTGACGATAAGCAGGGGAGTGGTGCGCAGTCTTGGAGTCATCACTCAACGAAGACACTCCTTGCACTGCGGTGACATCCGGAAAGGACACTTTCCGGACGTACCTGCGGATGACAATTACTCTAATTCTCCGGCGCTGTGTTTTTTGCTTTCATGGTTCTTTCATGCTATCTCCCTAAACCCAAATTTCCAGCCGACTTGCAGCCGCCTTGCAGCAGACTGTTTGTGCGATTGAAACATGTTGTTGAAACACCTTCAACTCAACTGACCCAGCGATCGTGCGGTTCCTGCATTCCTTTCTCCGTGGATTCTGATACTGGGTGAAACCTTATCTAAGTGTGTTTCGCTGTGCTTTCCGTCTCGGGTGCACTGTGTGAGCCCCCGCAAGGGGGCGCCGAAGCCATCGTGAATCCCATTTCGATTCTGCGTCTTGCGCTCTCGGATTCTGGTTTGATTTGATTTTGTCTCACCCATGAATCAACTGATACGACGCCGCCGGGGCATATGGTTCAAGACCTCTATAGCGGTTTTCCTGTTTGAGACTCATGATACATGCCTCATGTCCAATGTTCATTTAACGCTCCATTTTCCAAGGAAACCCCAGGTTTTCGAACTCAGCTGCGCTTTCCACGTTCACTTCGCGCGTTTCTTCGCGACTGTTTCACACATCCGTGCGGAGCAGCTGATTTGACGCGCTGCCGCTGCCGGCCGCTGCTGACGATGACAACAGCGAGTTGTTCTCACCCCGCAACGATGCAGTTTCCATGGCCATACCCACACTCTTTCCACCAAGCAGATACTTCATAACCCACATTTCCATTTCCACACCCATCGCCCCAACCTTCTGCACCACCACCACACACCTATCCGTCTCTTCAGCATCCACAACCTCTACCCAGTTCCTATGCTCCCAGTTTCTGTCTACATGCAACCAGCTGCCCATCCTCCTACTTTCAATTCACCGCCACCCACCACAGCTCCTTCACAGGCTCCAGCATTACCAGCACCCACCACACCCCTTGCCTCCGCTCAACAGCCAACGGTGTGTCTTGGAGGAACCGGGAGCAGGCAGGAGTTCAGGTGGAGGGGTAGTTCAGGAAAGGAATTTGGGCCGGGTGGTGCCAGCTGTGCACGCGGTTGTGCGTGGGAATGCTGAGAAAGGGTGAGGTTGCCAGATCTCTTAGTTGGGATCCCAGGTGAGGGTGGCTCCCACACACCCACCCGTCGACAGAGGCATCGCCGAGAGCACCGACAACACCATCGCCGCCACCACACTGAGCACCGCTCCACCCACCATCGCACGCACAATCGCCGCCGCCGACGCGGCGACTCCAGAACCAACGGAAGACTACACACCAGACATTTCTCCGACTCCCTCCACTCCACGCAGTCGACGAACTACCAGTGCTGCTTCCGACACTTCCCGTCACACTCCAGTGACTCTAGTCCCCAACCCAGCCAACACCAAGACCAACCAATCGAACCAAAATATCCCACCCATCCTCCGATGCAACGCCCGACCAACACATTCCGGGCACCACCACATTTTGACAAGAAGCCACAAGATAGAGGTCTGGCTCAATTTCTACTCACAACAATTTAACACCGACAACACCCGCCATAATGCATACATTGCTCAGCTTTTGCTCGACAGTGGGCTTACCTACTCCGACATCTGCATCCAGCAATACACTCACATCGACCGGAACGAGCAATCCCAACAATGAGATCTTTTCCATTAAACTTACAACCCCACCCACATTCCCACCCTTGCATACAAAGCCACCTCACGTTTCCCTCCTGCACCACACCGCCCACCCAGCACTCACCCACGTAGTGGGCGGTCATGTGAGTGAACGCGGGAACATCATTCAAATCCTCAACCAAGGCCGTGGTTCCTCCCCAGCACCCTCCACTTTACAGACTTCCCTGGTTTCTTTGCGCAGGGATTCAAAGCCACTCATTCTTTCCCTCGCGATTACAACGAATCGGCACGCATCCTTCACAAAACGCGGCGCCTCGACAAGAATCAAGCAGCTGTCATTACCCATTTAGTGGCCTGGGGACTGGTTTGAGCTACACCCAGGGTGGCGAAGCCTACGCCAGCGACCTGCTGAACAGCGCCGTCCACATTCCAGGAGCCGATGCTGGTTGATATCAAAGGCCTTGCTCCACCTGACAACAGCCACTAGCCCTCCACTTCTCACCCCTCCACCTTTACCAATTTTCACCAACCGGTCTCACTCCATACACACCACCATTGGCGCCTGGAAAATAAGCGCCCACCCGCGCCAGATGCAGATCTCACTAGCAACCTTACACGAGATGTGTCCTCCTCCAAATATTTTCACGGTTTTGTTGACTTTTCAACTCATTGTTCTAATGTATGGACAGTTTCATGATTTTGCACGTCGGCTCTGTCACCGGCCCTGTGTAACGCTGCAATCACTCATCGAGCATGCACGGCACCAGCTCCACAACAACCTCCTCAACCACTAACATTGACCTTTCCACCCGCACGATCACATACATCCAACCTTCCCAACCTTGGAAAGTCCGTGACGCCACCTCGGCCGGCAGCCAACGCTTGAGCCTCTCAGGCCTTGAATCTCGAATCCACACCATTTACAAGCACACCCCTACCCCCCATCCACAGCTGACGCGGCAGCCCAACACCTCATCCAACTCTACATCGCCAAAGGGCACCTTGCTGACGTGCGCAGACGATTTTTGAAAGGCAACAAGCGCCGCTGTGTGGCGCTTTGTGTGTGTCACGCCCTGTACCTAAGGGTTTTGAGTTTCTTTCACTGACGATAAGCAGGGGAGTGGTGCGCAGTCTTAGAGTCACCACTCAACGAAGACGCTCCTTGCACTGCGGTGCCATGCGGAAAGGATGCTTTCCGGACGCACCTGCAGATGACAATTACTCTAATTCTCCGGCGCTGTGTTTGTTGCTTTCATGGTTCTTTCATGCTATCTCCCTAAACCCAATTTTCCATCCGAATTGCAGCCGCCTTGCAGCACGGATTGAAACAGGTTGTTCAATCACCTTCAACTCAACTGACCCAGCGATCGTGCGGTTCCTGCAATCCTTTCTCCATGGATTCTGATACTGGATGAAACCGTATCTAAGTGTGTGTGTGTGTGTGTTGGGGGGGTGTTGACCCGTTTCTTTCACGATGAAATGGCCATTCACCCTCAAAAAGTCTGTCTTGTTGACATATGCTAAAACTGCAAAATAAAAAACCGATAAAAAACTGCTAGTGACTGACATCTTGCAGCATGACCTACACACAAAGGCTGAGAGCCAACCCTTGTGCCAGCTATCAACATAGGGGGTAAGGCGCCTGGGTGGAATTAAAGGGGGCTCCAGTTTGGAACTGTGACTTTAACGGCACATTCTTTGATGATTTCCTCGAAAATGCATATATATATATATATATATCTGTCAAAGCTCCGGATTGCTGCCCCACTGTCAGGGCTGTGCATGGGTGATACAAAATGCAGTTTGTGAGTCAGTGACAGTGACTGTAGGTTGTAGGCACTGTCAGGGCGGCGGAAGGACAAGTTGAGTTCTCAGTTTGTTGGTCTGTTACAGTTTGGAAAGGAATCGGAGCGTCCTTTACGCACTGTCACAGCTACACATGCAAGAATATGAACATGAAAATATGTGATAAATTGGACATTGCCCCGGCCCACTAACAGTGAGCACAAAGATGGGCACCACCAAGCGCACGAGAAAATTGGACCCCAAAAGCGGGTTTCTAAATTTGAAAAGTCATCTACCTAAACTGAATAGTCCCATTATATGTTGGCAGCACCTTTTTCTCCTTCATACCTTTGCCACTGGTCCACTGCTTTGGTGCTCTACATGGCACACTCTTGTGCCCAAGCCAACAAAGCCTTGCAAGGCTGCGCGCCCTGGTCTTCTCCAAGCCTTTCTTGAACCTGGGTTGGCTGGCTTGCTCTGGGGAGGTCCGCTAGCAAAGTAAAAGTCCGGCTAGGGCTGGGCCTGGGGCTGGCTGGGCTGGGCTGGCTTGCTCTGGGGAGGTCCACTAGCAAAGTAAATGTCCGGCTAGGGCTGGGCCTGGCGCTGGCTGGGCTGGGGCTGGCTGGGCCGGGGCTGGCTTGCTCTGGCGGCTGGGGCTGGCGGCTGGGGCCAACTAAAGTAAATGTCCGGCCCCGGCTGGATCCGGGGCTGGCTGGTCAAATTTTGGCTCCGGAGTTGTGCTTTTCCGGCGCCAAAAAGCACGAGAAAAAGCACGAGAAAAGGCACGAGAAAAGGCACCAAAAAAGCACAAGAAAAGGCACCAAAAAAGCACGAGAAAAGGCACCAAAAAAGCACGA